GAGAGCCAGACCTTCAAAGCAACATTTTTTAAACAAGGAGTGAGCTGGTGAACATGCAATAGTATTACGAACATAGATGGCAATTCCACCTCCTTTAGATCCTCGGTCAAGCCGAAAAAGATTGTAGTTGTCAATCGTAATCTGCAAGTCATTGACGGCAGGAGTGAGAAATGTTTCTGTTAGGCAAAATATGTCCGGGTCAAGATTTGCTACTTCTAGTTTTAGTTGACTTAATTTAATCAAAAGCCCTCTGATGTTGACATGTAGAACACCAACACCTTTTCTGCCAGAAAAATCTACAGAATTATATGAGTTCTTTACATTTGGTCCAGGATGAAGCTCAATACCACCCAGAAATAAGAAAAGTAGAATTAATAGTTTGCACAGGTATTTTCTGTGAAAGGATGAAGAGCGACGAACCTTGGACGAATAGCAGCAGCTCGCAGATGGTGTTATTTTTAAGAGCAGAATGAAGTTTGGAAGGAGTGCTGGTGAAGTAATGGGACAAAGATAGGGTTTAAAAGGATATAATGATGGAGTGTAGAAGTGTCTATAAGTTGTTTCATTAGCAGGTGTAGTTGCAAATTTAGCAATAAGTATTGACGCGAAGTAACGCGGGTAGCCATTTGTAGAGTTGAGTGTGGCACTAGATATGGCCGGGAAGGACAGTAGTAAGATACACAGCAGGTGAATTGACATCTTTAAAACACTAAATTTAAACACACACACAGCTCACTCACACGCAGCTCACCCTCACCCACTCTCACGCACAGCCCACACCCATGCAGCACAACGCACACGTGGCCGCACACGCCGCCGCCATCTTGCTGCTGTTGTTGTTGCAGCTGCTGTTGTTGTTGCAGCTGCTGTTGTTGCTGCAGCTGCTGCTGCTGTTGTTGTTGCAGCTGCTGCTGTTGTTGTTGCAGCTGCTGCTGTTGTTGCTGCAGCTGCTGTTGTTGCTGCAGCTGCTGCTGTTGTTGCTGCAGCTGCTGCTGTTGTTGCTGCAGCTGCTGCTGTTGTTGCTGCTGCTGTTGCTGCAGCTGCTGCTGCTGTTGCTGCAGCTGCTGCTGTTGTTGCTGCAGCTGCTGTTGTTGCTGCAGCTGCTGTTGTTGCTGCAGCTGCTGCTGTTGCTGCTGCAGCTGCTGCTGTTGTTGCTGCAGCTGCTGCTGTTGCTGCAGCTGCTGCTGTTGCTGCTGCAGCTGCTGCTGTTGTTGCTGCAGCTGCTGTTGTTGCTGCAGCTGCTGCTGTTGTTGCTGCAGCTGCTGCTGCAGCTGCTGCTGTTGCTGCTGCAGCTGCTGCTGCTGTTGTTGCTGCAGCTGCTGTTGTTGCTGCAGCTGCTGCTGTTGTTGCTGCAGCTGCTGTTGTTGCTGCAGCTGCTGCTGTTGCTGCAGCTGCTGCTGTTGCTGCTGCAGCTGCTGCTGTTGTTGCTGCAGCTGCTGCTGTTGCTGCAGCTGCTGCTGTTGTTGCTGCAGCTGCTGCTGTTGTTGCTGCAGCTGCTGCTGTTGCTGCAGCTGCTGCTGTTGTTGCTGCAGCTGCTGTTGTTGCTGCAGCTGCTGCTGTTGCTGCAGCTGCTGCTGTTGTTGCTGCAGCTGCTGCTGTTGTTGCTGCAGCTGCTGCTGTTGCTGCTGCAGCTGCTGCTGCTGTTGCTGCTGCAGCTGCTGCTGTTGTTGCTGCAGCTGCTGTTGTTGCTGTAGCTGCTGCTGTTGTTGCTGCAGCTGCTGCTGTTGCTGCAGCTGCTGCTGTTGTTGCTGCAGCTGCTGTTGTTTCTGCAGCTGCTGCTGTTGCTGCTGCAGCTGCTGCTGCTGTTGTTGCTGCAGCTGCTGCTGTTGTTGCTGCAGCTGCTGTTGTTGCTGCAGCTGCTGCTGTTGTTGCTGCAGCTGCTGCTGCTGCTGTTGCTGCTGCAGCTGCTGCTGTTGCTGCTGCAGCTGCTGCTGTTGTTGCTGCAGCTGCTGTTGTTGCTGCAGCTGCTGTTGTTGCAGCTGCTGTTGTTGTAGCTGCTGCTGTTGTTGCTGCTGCAGCAGCTGCTGTTGTTGCTGCAGCTGCTGCTGCTGTTGTTGCTGCTGCTGCTGTTGCTGCTGCAGCTGCTGCTGTTGCTGCTGCAGCTGCTGCTGTTGCTGCTGCAGCTGCTGCTGTTGCTGCTGCAGCTGCTGCTGTTGCTGCTGCAGCTGCTGCTGTTGCTGCTGCAGCTGCTGCTGTTGCTGCAGCTGCTGCTGTTGCTGCTGTTGTTGTAGCTGCTGTTGTTGTTGTTGTAGCTGCTGTTGTTGTTGTTGTAGCTGCTGTTGTTGTTGTTGTAGCTGCTGTTGTTGTTGTTGTAGCTGTTGTTGTTGTAGCTGCTGTAGCAGCTGCAGCCGACCCAACTGCAGTTGCAGGCGTTAAAACTATCTGCGGGTATTGAGTCATGAACTGCCCACACTGTGATTAGGATGCCAGTTCGTATTATTCAGTGGAAATATTCAGGACTAAAACTGCTAAACTAAGGGAGTCTTTCAATCTATTCTTAGGAAAATTAGGTAGATGTCCGAAGACGGACTGCACATTCACTTTGTCATCACATCGTATTTACGAACTTCTATTTATTCAGGACTCAGACGTTAGCCTTTCTTGTATTATTTTACTGCAGCGGGTGTCTTTATGTGGTATGCTGATCTCCTCTGCTCAATCTGCTTTACATCTTAAGCATGTCTGGTTGTGATGTATTCCGCGTGCGTGGCACTAAGTGCTGCTTAGTCACACGATATACATTCTGAGTGTGTCTGGATGTGCTAATGTGCAAAGAATGTCATCTTGCCTTCCTAAAATAAGCTTGCCTGGCCATTCCATGTGTGTGTTTTTTTACGGGGAACAATGTCATAGCTGGTTCACGGAGAGTGCTGTTATCGCGACAACCAAAATCCAATTCCCGGTAGTGTACAACATCAGTTCCAAGTTGTATATATAAACCAAACATGGGCCCCTCCCCCAGGTCAAATCGGCCTTAAGTGAGTGTCAGGTGCAATGACCATTCTCAGTAAAGAGACTCAAACTAACAGCACTCACGCTGAAAGTTCCGATTTACTAATGAAGGATCTTCTCTCATCCTTCGTGCTTCGTTTAAATGTAATGTGTTGTTTATGTTTTCAAAACCAGCACGTTCATTTGCTAATTTTCAGGGCTTTATATCAGCAATGCAAAGGAGCATGGGTCCGGAGAATGAAGCGGCCTCGCTTACAGCTGCCGTTGTGATTTTTTGCTCCTTGGGGGAAACCCGGGGCCTCCCTGAGCCACCACTGAGGTCCACAGAATGTGACCTCACTGCCATACTCAATCCTATCAGGGTTAATCCTACTAAAGCAGTCGGTCAACTCACGTTAGCTTTTCCTTCATACCAGCACAGTTACACAACCTGCAGCACATTATTGTTAAAGCCTGCATTGTCAGCCTGTGTTGCTGGCGAGGCACAATACGCAAAGGTGCACTTGGGGGGAAAGAGGCTGTCACTGTTGTGTCAGGAGACAGGCTGGCACATATGGGTCTCTGGTGCATGATACATTGAGTGGACTGACTCCGGCTGCTGCCATCATGACAAGGGATCAGTGCCCCCACATAGGATAGGAATGTGATTGACAGCCAAGGCTGCTGCCTCTTCCCCTAAATACTGCAGTGAAATGAATGGAGCGTGGGCACACGATAGTGAAGTGTTGACCACTGCGCGTCCTGAGTGTTTGTGTGCTCGTCCATCAAGATAAGGTGAGAGGTAGCAGTGGTAGTTGTTGCCTGCAACCAATCATTTTTTAAAGGGACGTAGATAAATATTGTGAGTTGGAAAGCCTATTCCCAGGCTGTTTTGCTTGCTACGTATAGTGTCAGGGAACGTAAATTGTAGCAGAGGGTTCGAGGTGGTGCAGTGGTTGGCGCACTGCACTATGAGTGATACGTAAACTGGAGTAAGTATAACTAAGCCACAATGACCAGTGTGGTAAAGTAGGGTCTAGGAGTCCCCTTGACCGAGATAGTGTGAGGAGTCCTTCATCCAGCAGTGGATTTATAAAGGGCCGTAATTTGACCTTCACTGCGTCATGTGTCCTCAAGGACATCAGCGGTGGCACAAAGTAATAGAGTGTTGCACATCAGATGACTAAAGATTGTGATGATAAGGATTGGTTGTACTATGGGTGGGGGGGGGGGTGTTTTTGTGCCTAAAATGAGCTTCTTGTGCGAATTGTTGCTGAGCAGACAAAGGGGACAAAGATGGTGGGGCGTAGTACTGGCCTGACGACACCTGCATGTGCATTGACATCTGTGGAGTCTTCCTCTGTGTATGTGTTTGTGTACGGGGAGCGGTGGCGCAGTAGTTCGTGCACTCTACTAGGAACCTGATGACCTTAGTTCAATTCCCACTCACGACACAAAAACAGTGGTGAATATTTGAACCAGTCCTGGGACTTCTCTCGGTTGACTCAGCCTTAAATGTGTACCTGGTGCGATGTGTATAAAACATCAGCACTGGAGAGACAAAGGTGGCTGGGCGTGGTGTTGGCCATCCACGCCCTCGTGTGCCTTGTTGGCCTTCATTTGGTGCTCGCTAACCATGCTTGCCCCAATAGTCTTTTAAGGTTAGTGGTGTGGTGGGTAAAACTCAGCACCGCAACACTGCAGAAACAGAGGTGACCGGGGATGCTCCTGCCCACACCATCCCTCTCGTTCGGTGTGCCGACTCTTATAAGGTGCTTGCCAGTCGTGTAGCTATTGAGTGTGCAGGCAGTGCGCCTGCACCAGGCCCACAGGCCAGATAGGTGCAGGCGTCAGGTTTGTGGAGAGGGAGTAAATTGGAGAGGGGGCCTCATTTCATTTCTTGCACCGAGGCCAATGTCACCAACGCGACGCTATTGGTGCTTGCGAGCGGCACTTGCCCAGCAGGATGTAAGCAAGGCTCCACGGGAGATCTCTGCCTGTGGCTGTGTATGTTAAACTGCGGAGCTTCCGGCAGTTGTCCTCTGAGTGTGTGTGGTCGGACCGTGCAGCGTGCAGAAGCTAAAAGAGTTCCTGAGGAGCGATGAAATCCGTGAGGAGGGATCGTGTGCAGCATGGGATGCACCCCCAGAAAGCAACAAGGAGGACATGGTGAGTGAGGGTGTGAGTGCTGTTGTGGAATTGATGTTCAGATTGGTATGGCCGTGTCTCTGGGTTCTGGCTTCGAAGAGACGTCTGTGAATGCAGCAAGGGTGAGTGAGAGCTGCGGGGAGACAAGGAATGTTGGCTGTGGACTCTGCGAAGCTAAAGAGTTTCCCTCTTCTTGTACCTATTTACATCACTAACTGTACCTCTCCTGACTTCCATCCACGTGTTCTTCACCTTAGTAGCAACTGCTTATTCTCTGACCTTCAAACCAAACCTCTGCTTTGTGCAAGGTTTTTCTCTCTTCATCATCAAGTTTTTTTTGGGTTAGATCCCGTAAATATAAATGTGTTGTTAAACCCGCCACCACCCGACACAGCCAATTCGTTCGGTTTGTCACGTAAACAAAACGTGCCAATAAGTTACTGGTTCAATACTAAACCGGTTGTGCGTCTCTCTGCTTGACCACGACTCTGATCTGAAATCCCCTCTCCACTGGCATCCATCCCACCAAGTACTTTCAGTTGTTAATATGAAGGCCTTTATATCCTCTACCCACAAATAATCACTGGTCATATATGTAGAACCCCACCTCTCAACGACGGTAATTAGTTCCACGAAACCGGTTGTTACGTGATTTGGTCATTATGTGAGTATAGAAAGTACACATTAAAGACTTAATTCGTTCCAATAGCATCGAAGTTACCCATTTTTCACCCAAAAACGTACTTTATAATATTTAAACAATGGATATAAATACATAAAGATACTAACAACATAATAAATGCATGAATTAATATTAACTATAAAGTGATTAGTCGTTAAGAGGGGTGGTTGTTAAGAAGGGTTCTACTCTACATTACTATACACGACACTACTATACACGACACCAATATACACTACACTAATCTTGATTTGAAGCTTTCGTGATTGCAGGAATCCATACTCTTTGGTTCTTTCGGTAAAGTCACGTAGGAATAAAATAAAATAAATCACGACGTTTCGGGCGCACGTGACTTTACCGAAAGAACCAAAGAGTATGGATTCCTGCAGTCACGAAAGTTTCAAATAAAGATTGAACCACCTCTACGGGGAGGGTTTCCACACATCTGTTAGAGCTTTTAACAGACTGCGAGACAAGAAGGCTCACCTGATCGAGTCGCTAACCTTTCTCAAGAGATGCCGCGACAACAAGGTAATACCGACCACATTTACACTCACATCTGCTGCAGTCACTTCTCCTAACGCTAAATGGATCTTGTTTAGGGCCAGCCTATCGCTAATCTCAAAGAGAATAATATTGCTCGGATTTTGATAATGTAGACAAACCTCTCTTACAATCACACTTAAAATTAACAGATAAGATGTCCACTTCTGATTGGGACCATGTAGATAACATGACAGTTTATTCTGCTACTTCAATGTCAACCAAATGCAAAGTCAACTTGATCGCTAAATTCAACCTCCTGTCAAAAAAGAAGCATTGCCACACGTTAAAAAGTTAGATATTAACAAGATTGTCATCAATCATAGTAACATCCCAATTTCCGACAGCCTAAAATTGTCATCCTCTCAGCTGACAAAGGCAATGTCACTGTCATCATGGAAAAAACCACTTACAACAACAAAATTCAGGACCTTCTTAATGATGGCAGCTATTCCAAAATCAACAGAGATCCCACCAACCGCCTAGCTACAAAATCCAACAATATTATCACTAAATCAACTTCTCTAATCGATCAGACTAAGCAGAGCTCCCTAAAACCTTCGGCTGCGAGACCACCCAGATTATATGGCCTTCTAAAAATCCACAAAGTAGGTACCCCGCTCCGCCCTATCGTCTCCACCATTAACTCACCCGCCTACAAACTGGCCCGATTTATTTCTGAGACCCTGCGTCCTTTCACGGGCAAGTCCACCTCAGCTCTACTTAACTCAGCTCACTTGGTTTCTCTAATCAAGGTCATCTCACTGTCTCCAGATGATTTGCTTGTCAGTTTCGATGTAGTCTCTCTGTTCACCAATGTACCTGTACCTGACACCATTGCAATTATTGAAGACTTGGTCCAACAAGGACTGAATCCAGATGTACCAACTTTGGTAAGGCACTGCCTTACCAACACATATATCACCTGGAATGGTACATTCACAAACAAAATGAGGGTACCCCAATGGGTTCTCCCTTATCGCCAATGGTAGCGAATGTTTTCACGGAGAAATTTGAGACAGATGCCATCCAGACATCCACCCTACGTCCTTCCTCATGGAAGAGATACGTGGATGACAGGTTCGTCATCTGGCCACATGGCCTGCCAGCACTGAACCAATTTCTCAACCACATCAATTCTATACATCCATCTATCAAATTCACCATGGAAGTGGAAAAGGATGGCAGACTACCATTCTTGTATGTTTTGATCAAGAAGAGACCTGATGGCTCGTTGGGACATTCGGTCTACAGGAAAGCTACCCACACAGATGCCTATCTAAAGCCTGACTCCCACCACCATCCAGCCCAGAAGAATTCCCTTATCAAAACACTACACCATAGGGCCCTTTGCATCTCCGACCAGCATCACCTAGCCAGTGAGTTGGAGCACGTACACCAAGCCCTCAAGATGAACGGATACTCGGACCGTACAATCCGCAAAGCTGTCTCCGCAGCCATGCGGAGGCAACCTTCTGAGGATCCAACCAAAACCATCACTTTACCGTACATAGCAAGGGTTACCAAAAATATTTCCAAAATCTTAAACAAACACAAAATTCAGGTTAGATTCAACACAGTACACAAAATCTGTTATTTAATCCCATCTGTAAAGGATGTGATTCCTGACATGCAATACCCTGGTGTCTACAAACTGAGTTGTGGTTGCGGCAGCAGTTACATTGGGGAAACGAAACAACATGTCTCGGACTGAGTTCGTGAACACAAGGCAGATCTGAAACACGGTAGAAACCAATACCTCTGCCATTGCCGATCATTGTTTTAACGCTGTGGGCTCACACGAAATAGATTTTTCCAAGACGGAGGTACTCTGCAAACCTACCGGCTACCTTCAGAGATTTGTTCATGAAGCCATCCAAATGTATAAACACAGACACAACTTCAACCGAGAAGATGGGTACAAACTGAGCAATCATTGGAAGGAAGTTATCAACCAGGTAAAGTCTTAACTGACTGTGAGGTTTCCATCCTACCTGCCTATGTCAGCTGTTATTTCCAACTCTCTGTGTGTGTGTGTCTCTCTCTCTATGCCTCTCTCTTATATCTCTCATGCTCACATGTCTTTTGGATTGCACTCTCATGCTCACATGTCCTTTGGATTGCACCCTTTGGGTTGCACTCATGCCTTTTGATTTCACCACTCTTCGATTTCACATTAGCATGCTAATCTCTCACATTAACATAGCCACTTCCGTGCCCTCGTCGAGGAGGCAGCTCTCCTATCTTACAGTTACATGCTAATTTCTCACGTTAACATCACTAGCCCCGCCCACTTCTTTATGACCCTTGGACTACAGCCATTTCAAACCTTTATAAAACAGTCTGCTTCAGCAGCAGATCATGCTTTCCCACCTGATGACAGACGCTTGTGTTGCACCCGAAACGTCGTGATTTATTTTATTTTATACCTACGTGACTTTTCCGAAAGAACCAAAGAGTATACACTACACTACTATACACTACGTTACTATACACTACACATTGGGCTGTATGGAGGCCCGTCGTAAAAGCGATTAGTCGTTAACATGTGTGGTTATTAAGAGCGGTTCTACTATATTACGTTTGAGTTTGTTTTATTTGTTACACAGATGATCCCATTTATTCAGTTACCCGGCTGTATTACAAAGGTGATCAGTGGTGCTGGAGTACAGCAAAAACAACAAAATCCAAAAACATTCACATTGGCAAGAACGAGGACAGGGTGTTCAGCAATATTGCACAACTTGACTGTGTAAAGTATGTGTTATGAGTGTAACGATGCATTGAGTCCAATGGCGGAGCCATGATTTTCAGGTGGGGGGGCAACCCCTCCAGCAATGAAAAATGATAGGAGTTGTAAGTAAGGACTTGTCCCTTGATTTTTATTCGACGCGAGTGTCGAATTCGAACCGTGTGTGATCGGCATCGCGCTCGCTGAAAGTATGCCTTCAGGGAAGTCGTGTACTGTATATGCAACTGCGCACAATTCTATAAGTCACTTATAACTGCTTTGCCGTTACTTATTGCCAATTATGGACTCAGACTATTGTCCTATCTAATAGAGTCCATGGCATGTAATATTATGCTTCACAGTGGCAGTAGGGGTCGCAAAATGCCGATTTACTAACAAACCCCAATGATCCGATCGAAATTAGGAATTTCGATCGGTCCATTGGGGGGGGGGGGGGGGGCACGTGCCAACCCCCCCTCCCACTGGCTCTGCCAGTGATTGAGTAAATGATTGATTATTGTCAATTATCAAGCTCACAATACCTGCATCAAATCGTATTTTTGGTTCTTACATATCAATGTGTAATGGTTTCACATTGCCCCTGCAACTATTAGAAGTGCTACAATTTCATTATTATAAATCTCCTCTGTGCACGTGCTTACCATCGTCATCAGAGGTTTATATTGACTGTGACGTGAGAGCTCGTCTGTGACAGCTGTGTGTCGTCTGGCGTCGGTCTGCAACCTCCGTCTGCCACTTGCCGCCCTTAGCCACTGAGGGCCATAAACAGGAAGGCGGGAGGCAAGCGATACTGGAGCTCTCTGGACGCGCAGTCGTGGCGGCAGCCCTCGCTCGGTGAAGGAGACGACGTGGCCTTGAAGGTGACTGGAGGGTTATCCAGTGGACTGTGCGGCACACTACAGGGACATTGACAGCAAGGGTGGCGAGATGTTAACTCCATTGCCTTGTATGCAGGAGGTCGTGGGTTTGATCCCAACCCTGACGCCTGCTGTATATTTGGAGTTTGTGTGTCTTTATTTCCCTGTGGTCGTGTGGTTTTATCTCCGGGTATTCCGGGTTTTCCCTCCACATTTTAAAACACTCGCTTAAGTATTTGATTGCTATAAATGTTCACATGATGAGCCAATTTGTTGAGCTATCATTTATGGGCAGGTCACTTCTGAAAAAGCTATATAGCTCAGTGGGTTTTCCATGGTTAATTTAAAATGTTTTATATATAATGCTGTCACACTACAAGAATATTCAGAACCCGATATATCCAGTGAACCAAACTGTACAGATGAGTAGAAAAAAGACAATTATTACAAACATTGTAAGATGACATTTAAACAAATACGATGCATTCTTCGATTGAATTGTAACCATCAAAGCAATGGGGAGCAAATAGGGAGGGGGGTGGTGGGTGAGAGTTACACTCTCCCACGTGGTTATGTGCTGCCCGCCTCAGCCTGAGCCGTGCATGACGCTAGATACGTCTGCAGGTGCCGTGGGGCGATAGTAGACCTCGCCTATCCCATTTTAAATTGCTGTGATCGGTCACCACTATTGGTTATCGGTCCAATTTCTCCATTGATCGGGTGACAGAAAATTGGAACAAAAATTCCTCGCCCCTTTCACCCCTGCGTGCCATTGGACGGGAGGTGAGGGGCGGGGCTTGGTGACATCATAGGCCACGTCATGCTCGGGGTGGCTGTTGGGCGGATTCCTCCCTTCAGAGAGGCTGGATTTGGGGGGAGGCCGCTATTTTGAAAGGAGCCTGTATAATGGACTATGAAAAATAGTCGTCAATAATATAAAAATAATCAGGTAGTCGATGTTTTACCTCAGTCTCCTGATTGTCCCAGCTTGAGTTAAAATAGTAGTTAAGGGTTTGTCAAAATTTTCTGTTTTATATATACAATTATAAATATTTCAAGGTGATTTCATAACACATGTAAATTGCGAATGTGCAGGGCTTTTTGATAAAAAAAAACATACCCTTTGAATTTAGTTCAAAGAATATTGGCGGTGAAAGTGAAATGGCCGCTGTAATGCACGTTTCACCACTAATGTATGAGACGTGACCAGCATGATTATCTTTGGCCAAAACAAACCCCCATGACTGACAAAGCATCAGGGGGAGGCCTTCACCCAGTAATGGATTGTCAAAGGGCAGAAAATTATTATTGTTGCTATGAAAGCATTTTAAATTATCACCACACTTAGCAAACATGTCTGTGCCCTTGTAATGGTGTCTGGTCGCAAGGTAACCAGTGGGGTTTTCAACTGGACCGGCAGCGGAATCCCAACTCTCTCCAACATCAACATCCAAGTACCTCACGGTATGAGCAGAACCCTGCTCCTTTGCCCATTCTTCTTAATCGCCCGTCGTAAAAAAACTACATCATGACAGTTTGGTGGAGGTTTATAAATCACCGAGTTTACACGCAGTATTTGTCACTGCTATTTTCTGGAGGACGTAGAGAGGGCTCGGGCAATGCCACTGAAGTCCTTGTAAATCTGCGCAGGTGCCTATTGGTAAATTATATTTTCCAGCAGAGCAATGTGAAGGTCTTGTACAAGTCCTCAGTGACACCATGATAATTATCATATGATTTTTGTTACTACAACAACACAATCTATTTTTTTCAGTTTGCTTTTCCTTCAGTTTATTCCTTCACATAATAGTGGATGTGCGAAGGCTGTTCGCTCACATTATTCCTAGCTACTGTTGCTTCCCTCGCACATCCACTCTTCATCTTAACATCTGTTTACAGATTCCTGTCTTCCACCACCCACCTCTTCCCCGTCTGTTCCACATCTTTTCTTTCAACGTTTTAAATTCCTCTTCCATTTTTTCCATCCTCCAAACATGCTTCTCATCTATCAACTGAGAACTTCCCACACTGCCATATCCCCCCCCCCCCCCCCGCCCGCCCTGACAACCACTACACCATTCTCTCCACCACCTGACCTGGCGGACTCATCCCTACCTATTACCCCCCCCCTCACCACCACTACTCCAATCTCTCTGCCACTCCGCCTACCCCACTCATCCCCAGGGCAGATGACGATGATCGTGGGCCAGGTTGGATGTGGGAAGTCGTCACTGCTGCTGGCCACCCTTGGTGAGATGCAGACCATGTCAGGAGCCGTCAACTGGAACAGGTGATCGCAAGGACGCGCCAGTGGCTACAGAGGGATGGAGTAGTGTCCAGTTTACACGTCTTCTGCATTTGGAATACAATTCCCATGCAACAGCAGTTGACCACACCCAAGGCTGTGATGTGGGCACGTCTTGTAATGCTGTGTTGTTTCTGCTTTTTTAGTCGGGTGGGGAGCCCTTCCACACCAGATGGGCGAAGGAGGTACTGCAAACATCACCGCGCACATTGCACAGCTCACACCGCGTCTACCTACTGTGCACTCACTGATACTGGGCTGTAGCGCTCGATTTTGTCACGAGACTTCCAGCCCGAACGCCCTGGAAGCAGCAGAGATAAGTCGTTAAACCTGGCACCACCCGACACAGCCAATTAGTAAGGTTTGTCACGTAAACAGAACATGCCAATTCGTTACTAGTACAGCACACTGGTGTGTTGGAGAGTAAATCCACAACATTTACAATCTGAGTACGACGTTTCGCCAGTAATTACGGATGATGATGCTAGTTGTAATTACTGGCGAAACGTCGTACTTAGATTGTAAATGTTGTGGATTTAGTCTCCAACACACCGGTGTGCTGTACTAGTAACGAATTGGCATGTTCTGTTTACATGGCAAACCTTACTAATTGGCTATGTCGGGTGGTGGCGGGTTTAATGACACATTTATATTTACGCGATATAACCCAAAAATCCTGTATTATGGACAATATTGGTCGCGAAAGCCTACGTGTTAAACTAGCAGAGATAAGATCAGAAAATTCAAACTCGTGAAATATATTTTTACGACAATTTTTAGTGTTAAGTAATATATACTTTCATTAATTAATTAATATATTTCTTCTTGTTCTCATTTCACCGCTGAAGGCTTCCCTGCACCATTACAGTCACGTGGGTTGTTTCATCATGCTTCATCAAACTGGTCGGAGTGGATTGGTGTCGTTGTGGAGAGTGGGGGGAGTGAGTGCAGTTCAGATGTTACTTGCAACTGATGTTAGCCATGGCCGGAGATTGAACTCGGGACGCTGCATTCAGAGTGCAGTGCGCTACCGCTACGCTTGGCAGTGTCAAGGGCAGTGACACGGCCCACCCGTAGTGTGTTGGCCACGTTGGAGAGATTCACGGTTCAAATCAAACGGCTGCCCTGATTATTAGGTGTGCCATGGTGCCGAGATGTTAACTACCTTATCTGGTATGCAGGAGGTAGTGGGTTTGATCCCGACCCTGGCGCCTGCTGTATATTTGCAGTTTGCGTCTCTCTCTCCCCATGGTTGCATTGATTTTTCTCTGGGTTCTCCAGTTTTTCCTTCCACATTTAGAATCAACGTGCATTTAGAGTATTTGCCTGCTATAAATGATAGGTCACTTCGTTGACCTATCATGTGTGGCCAGGTCACTTCTGAAAAAGAGACATAACTCAGTGGGCCTTACCTGTTAAAATAAAAATAAATCCATAGTAATGCTACACACTGTCTGCTTGACAGTCGACGTTAAAGATCCCCTGACGTCATTTGCAAGGGTAGGCCATTGTGTACTGGCATCAGAGCCTAAATTTGCCAATTAATCAAATTACCAAGCAATTACTTAATTGGGATGATGCACAGTAATGATTGCCTCTTACTGACAAACTAAGGCCCCAGGTCACTCTTACAAATGATACGATCCTGGTCTCACCTGGTTAGACAAAATAAACTGGAAACCAAGTGGCGATAGCAGCAGCGGGTGGCACTGGGTGGTGTTGAGATTGATTCTCAAGATGTCGGTGCACCCAATATGAAACAGAAATTATCCAAAAAAGTTTGACTCAATTTCCGTACGGGCATGTACATACCCACAGACAATTGTGTAATTCCTACACAAAGTAACAATTGTCAAGTTAATTGAAATGAAGCGATGGGCCTTTCTAAAGATGCAAGGCTTTCGAAGTAAAAATATCTAAACAAAACTCGACACCCTCACCACGGCTATCCTGAAAGAGTAGCTTTTAACAGCATTTATTTGACAACATTCATCAATATCACAGCGACCTTAAAGCAAGAGTATAAGCGCAGTTTAGACATTACATACTACATATATCTGCGTTTATTTTAATATCTACGTTTATTTAAACATTATTTGGTGATGCTGCTGTTGCTTCGTTGGCAGTGGTGCACAAGCACTGCTAACAATAAACTCAACATGTTCATCAATAACACTGTAGCCTTAAAGGGTAAGGTATATAAGTACAGTATACATATTATATACTTTTCCTTTAAGGCCACAGTGTTATTGATGAACGTGTTGAAGAGTGTATTGTTAGCTATGCTTGTGCACCACTGCCAATTCAAACAACAGCAGCAGCATCACCACCAAATAATTTGTTTAAATAAACGTAGATGTCGTCCAAATTTGAGAGGGATAGGGATAAAAGGGGGAATGGGTTTGGGTTGGATAAGAGAAGAGGGTTGAAGTTACGCTAGAACCAAAGCCGTCGCTTTGGGGTCGAGCCACGTGCCCTCTGCTGTGCCCTCGCTGGACACCACACAAGGAAGAGACGTGAGGCAGGGCCCAGAGGGAATCGCCCAAATACTCCGCTTCTGAATGCAGCAGCAGCAGCAGTAGCAGCAGCGGGTTGTGCCCATGCTCAAGTCTGCCTTTTGCATCGGCGCATCACTGCAGCGTTGACCTTAACACGCACTTGGATGTTACATGCAGCCCCCTGGATTGCGACGGCTCCTCTGAGGAGAGTGACAGGTACCGCCACCGCGCTTTAGCTCCACCCTCCGTAACCCTGTGCTTGTGCATCAGGACGTGCATGTGCATGCCCATTCTTCTGTCTGTCCGTCCATCGTTGCGGTGGTCTTTGGCCCCCGTTTTTGGAGACACATTTTCCCATTCATGCAGATGAACAATGGTCATTCTTCGGGAGGGGCTGAACCTGGGACTCCATACACTGGAGCGACATCACAGTGTCCTTGATCTGGCTATGAAGCATCTTCCACTAATGGATCGGATGCATTAAAAGTTCCGACTCACACAAGCATCCAGCCACAACGTTGCAGAGGCCAAGGATCAGCACATATTTCTTGACCAACAAAAATATGGGCAACGCTGCATATCTTCTACCCTGTATTTATTGCAAATCGATTTTCATCTGAAACGAACATTCTGTCATCGCACCCCTCCACTGACACATCCGAGCCAGCCCATGGTACCTCATGATAGGGGTGGTTTTGTACCGGATTATGTGCCATGCCGGGCCAGAACCAAACCGTGAAACCCTGGCCTCACACGAAGACGTCTGAATCTGGCCCAGGGCCAGAGGTAGGGTGAATCGTGAGTTGCTCATTCTGCAGTGGGTAAATATCTTTGTTGGGGGGGAGCGGTGGCGCAGCGGTTAGTGCACTGCGCTACGAAGCCAGGGACCTGAGTTCGATACCCGCTCAAGGCCAACAGCAGTGACGATTATTTGAACCGGTCCTTGGCCTCCCCTAGGTCTACTTAGCCTCAAATGAGTACCTGGTGTTGTGTGTAAACATCACCACTGGGGAGACAGAGGTGGCCGGCCATGGTGCTGGCCACTCACCTCCTCGTGTTTGTATTCATGCTGAACTTCTTTCGCACCGTATGTAGCCAACCATGGTAATCGACGTTCATAGGTGCGTCTCGCTAGCAGCACTTGCCCCAACAGTCTGTTGCAGGCTATTCGAGAGATCTTTGTCTAGATTATTTGGTGCCTCCCAAGCTGTGCCGGGATGGCTCTGAATGGCCCCGGCATGACTCGGTTTTACCGAGGAACATTGGTCTAAAATGATTGCTGTCCTCACTGAATACAAGATGCATCACAGATAATACTATTTGTTTCAGTATCATAATGTCTACCGACCATGGCATGTTTTTTTTAATCCATTGCAGATGAAAAGTCGTGTTATGCAATTCTATTCCAATGCGGAGTGTGGAGTAGCAGACCTGTGGTTGATCCAGGGCTCACTTCACACGGCATGCTGGAACTTCCCCAATCTGTTCCCAGGTTTCCATGACGTGGGTGGTACGATGTCACTTCATGTCCATTAGAGCAGTGGTTCTCAACCTTGTTTGGCTCATGTACCCCTTGTTGAATTTTGTTTCAACCGAGTACCCCCCTTACCTGACCCAACATGGTTCTGAGAAATAAATGTATGAATAATGAACATGAATATTTTAACCAATTTTCCATTTCGTGAGTTATACTAACTAGCTCGTAACTGCAAGCGAATAAACCAAATTCAACGGACGCTTTGCGCTCGCCGGTTACTCTTGGAAACCACATTGGTAGATCAATGAGTTTGGAAAGGTATTCTATATCGTTGTAGGTTACAATATGGATTAACATCTTATTGTAGTTATTTTATATTGGCAGATTAATTCGTGAATTATTCAATGACTCTCACGTATGATGTAATTTCACACATTTATAAATCACGTCACGTACCCCCTGGGACATTTCCACATACCCCCAGGGGTCTGCGTACCCCCGTTTGAGTACCACTGCATTAGAGATTCCTGATTCTTGCAAGAATCGTGATTCTTCTGTGGGTGATTCCAAATGATGAAACCTTTTTATTTAACGGGATTCTAGCATGGATTCTGCCATGAAAGAATCAACAGAATGTGAATCTTAGTAATTCGAGCCAGCTAGAATCCACGACCCTTCCGGCTGCTAGGGGTTGGAGTAAACACGGTCATATGGGCGCCACGGTGGCGAGATGTTTACTCCCTCACCTGGTATGCAGGAGGTCGTGGGTTTGATCCTGACCCTGACGCCTGTATATTTGGCGTTTGCATGTTTTCCCCATGGTCGTGGATTTTTCTCCCAGTCCTTTGGTTTTTCCCTCTACACTTGGAAACATGCATTTAGAGTATCTGGCTGTGATAAATTTGCAGATGATAAGCCACTTCGTTGAGCTATAAATGATAGGTCACTTCGTTGACCTATCATTTGTGGCCAAATCGCTTCTGAAAAAAGAGCTGTATAGCTGCTAAAATAAAAATAGTTTAGTTCTCGCCTTCATACAGCGAAGTTGCTGTGGTCTATTAAAAACATCACTTATCAGCAGCTATTTGCTTGACTAGTTATGAAGTGTTTTGACGGATGTATTCAGGCAAGAACAGCAGCAGCAGCCGCCACCATCTGTCAGTGGTGGTGGCATGGCTCCAGTGCCTGTGATTGGGACTCGTGGCACCATAAGGCCACAAATAGTGAACGCTCACTGGCACAGGTGTTGAGAGCTATCTCACTGTGCTTTGGCTGCCTGGCACTCTTCTCATCGTAGCGAAGGTTGCTCCACCACATTGTGATATTGGAGGGCAGCCCAACACCATTAATTGCCAACCTCCACAGGGGATAGCTCTGACACAGTGCAAGCCAAAAGCAAGTGCACTCTTCGGGAAAGTCCCTGTGCATGACTTTGAACTACATGTTAATTATATGAGAATCGAAGCTTTCGTGACTGCAGGAATTACTATTTGGTTCTTTCAGAAAATTCACGTAGAAATAAATATAATTAAATAATAATAGAATACGACGTTTCGATTGCAACACAACCAACCATCATCAGGTACAAATGAATGAGAAAACAAACATAGTGAACTTGGAAATTTTATGCAATACAAAACAGAGAGTCGGCCAACAAAACAGTCAACACCCCACCTGGTTGATTACGTTCTTCCAAAGATTGCTAAATTTGAGAGACAAAACAGAGACACACAGACCTGACACACAAACAGAGAGAGACTCACACAGAGACAAACAGAGAGAGACACACACATAGGCACACAGAAAGACGTCTCTGTGTCGAGGCCTTAAATAGAGAGAGACCTTACCAAAAGAACCAAAGAGTACATGGTCATTAGCCTGTGCGATATCCATTGTATACCCACATTGTCCCCAATTTTTCCCAAATGACAATACCAGTCGATTATGTCATGTCCCCTCCCCCGTGTGGCTCCATCTGTCCAGCCGAATGATATTTGACTGTGCATGGTGAATATGCGTGTGTGTGTATGTTGATCTTTTTTCGCACCGTACGTATCCAACCATGCTAAAGCGGGCCAATTCAATATAGCAGTGCAACCAGGGTTAATCTGGCACGGGGCCGCAAAGACGTGGAGCTCGGTGTTCAGGCAGCGTTCGCAAACCACTGCAGAGCCAGTAAAATCAAGTCAACCACAACTCCTTGGCTGCCCGTGCTGTCCCACATCTCTCCCCCACACATCCGCCACGATGCTGCAACCCTCCGGGAAGTCTTGTGACTTTAGGAAAACAGTCGCCTCTCCATTCATCAGGACCTCAATAACGTCCCTTGTCATCGCTTGAAGTCACGTAAGCCCTTTTGGACCCATACGCTTAACCTTTCAACAATGCGAGTTCAACCTCGATGAAGCTTAGATAGCTGAATGTAGTTCAAAATAATGCACAAACAAACACCTTGTGAAAGACCCAACGCAGAAGATCCCTGGATATGACTTCCACAAAGTTCATGGTCCGCCCCAAACCGCATCCGCACAACCCATGGCAGATGTGGATACCTGATGCACAATTGGAAAATTAAAAACTCTCCAGTGTGGGACCCTGGTCATCCAGAACAGACCATACAACGTATAATGACGCAACGCTCGATCCATGAATACGAAGGGGACATCACAGCGATACACTCCGCTGGCTCCTGTCGCGGTAATCTGGGTTGACCACCTGAATGTGAAATAGTAGTTGTTGCTCTGCATCTACATCAACCGTACGAAAGAAGAGGAAGATTGCTTGCAGGCATCAGATTTCTACTGACAGTTATTGGCCAGTCATAAATGCATTTGCCTGGGTAAGGGAACCTCCACACTCTAAACAACCACACCACTACTTATGGAAAGGTAGAATATTGAAGAGTTGGATATCATGATGCACCTGGGCAAATATTGATTGCCATAGTGTAATGGTTATTAACACGCCGGACTTGCAATCCAGAGGGTCACTGGTTTGGTCCATTCTCCCAGCGCAGCAGTTGGAACAATTAGCGAGTCTCTTAAATCTTTCCAAACTCTGTCCACCTAGCAGTATAAATGGGTGCACCAGTTACTTAATAGAACAGTTCTGTGTGGTGGGGAAAACTCACGCTTTGCCCAAAGACGTCTGGCCAGCAATGGAAGAGTAGGCCATTATATACCATACAGATGGTTAATCTAAAGTTCACCCTGAGTGATGGGCCCTTCCGCCAGCAGTGGCATGAGCAAGAGAATACAGGCCTGCACCTTTGCCTTTTACACGGCACGCTGGCTGCTGGCGGTGCTGTCTCAGAGTTCTCGTCTTAGTGGGAATGTTGTGAGCATAAAATTACAGGGTCAACTTGGTCAACCCTGGGGAATTAATAACATTGGTTGCCACTCTTTGGGTAATCCAATAGTGGCCATGCAGAGAGGCTAGCTCTCGCCATGGGAATGTGGAATTTCCTCCACGGGCTCAAAGTGACCAGCAGCTGAGGCAGGCACCTCCCCAAGTCCCTGGTTGACGTTGGAGACACTTTGAGGAGACGGACCAGACACTACAGTTTATACACGGCGGTATATACGCAAGCAAGTTAACATACAGTGAGGGAAAAAAGTATTTGATTCCCTGCTGATTGTGTACGTTTGCCCACTGACAAAGAAATGATCAGTCTATAATTTTAATGGTAGGTTTATTTGAACAGTAAGAGACAGAATAACATCAAAAAAATCCAGAAAAACGCATGTCAAAAATTGTATAAATTGATTTGCATTTTAATGAGGGAAATAAGTATTTGACCCCCTCTCAATCAGAAAGATTTCTGGCTCCCAGGTGTCTTTTATACAGGTAAAGAGCTGAGATTAGGAGCACACTCTTAAAGGGAGTGCTCCTAATCTGTTAACAGTAGCAATCAATCAGATTACAAACTCTCCACCATGGCCAAGACCAAAGAGCTCTCCAAGGATGTCAGGGACAAGATTGTAGACCTACACAAGGCTGGAATGGGCTACAAGACCATCGCCAAGCAGCTTGGTGAGAAGGTGATAACAGTTGATGCGATTATTCGCAAATGAAAGAAACACAAAAGAACTGTCAATCTCCCTCAGCCTGGGGCTCCATGCAAGATCTCACCTCGTGGAGTTGCAATGATCATGAGAACGGTGAGGAATCAGCCCAGAACTACACGGGAGGATCTTGTCAATGACCTCAAGGCAGTTGGGACCATAGTCACCAAGAAAACAGTTGGTAACACACTACGCCGTGAAGGACTAAAATCCTGCAACGCCCGCAAGGTCCCCCTGCTCAAGAAAGCACATATACATGCCCGTCTGAAGTTTGCCAATGAACATCTGAATGATTCAGAGGACAACTGGGTGAAAGTGTTGTGGTCAGATGAGACCAAAATGGAGCTCTTTGGCATCAACTCAACTCGCCGTGTTTGGAGGAGGAGGAATGCTGCCTATGACCCCAAGAACACCATCCCCACCGTCAAACATGGAGGTGGAAACATTATGCTTTGGGGGTGTTTTTCTGCTAAGGGGACAGGACAACTTCACCGCATCAAAGGGACGATGGACGGGGCCATGTACCATCAAATCTTGGGTGAGAACCTCCTTCCCTCAGCCAGGGCATTGAAAATGGATCGTGGATGGGTATTCCAGCATGACAATGACCCAAAACACACGGCCAAGGCAACAAAGGAGTGGCTCAAGAAGAAGCACATTAAGGGTCCTGGAGTGGCCTAGCCAGTCTCCAGACCTTCATCCCATAGAAAATCTGTGGAGGGAGTTGAAGGTTCGAGTTGCTAAAAGTCAGCCTCGAAACCTTAATGACTTGGAGAAGATCTGCAAAGAGGAGTGGGACAAATCCATCCTGAGATGTGTGCAAAGCTGGTGGCCAACTATAAGAAACGTCTGACCTCTGTGATTGCCAACAAGGGTTTTACCACCAAGTACTAAGTCATGTTTTGCAGAGGGGTCAAATACTTATTTTCCTCATTAAAATGCAAACCAATTTATAACATTTTTGACATGCGTTTTTCTGGATTTTGTTGTTATTCTGTCTCTCACTGTTCAAATAAACCTACCATTAAAATTATAGACTGATAATTTCTTTGTCAGTGGGCAAACGTACAAAATCAGCAGGGGATCAAATACTTTTTTCCCTCACTGTATATGCTCACTTAACAATTGACTTCTCTTGGCTTAAGTCTGCTTTATTTGGATTCAAACATCAATTGAATGTTTTACTTCATAAAATAAATGCACAGCATTTTTAAGTGTCGAGTGATAAATATATACACACAGCATATAATTTTCCTGCATATATACAATGATATATATTCACACTATTTAATAGTATTGCCTTAGACTGCTCAGTAATCTCTTCGTGTTCGCCTCTCGTGCCCTCCATCTACTCCTCTCATTGTGGCAGCCGCAAGAGGGGTCCAGTCGCGTATGCAGCGCAGAAGCCGTGGCTCCTCAATGCCACTGTGGAGGAGAACATCACCTTCGGCAGCCCGTTCGTCAAGCAGCGGTGAGCACAGCGTCATCAACACTGTGCTGGTGCTCACACTGTGGGCGTGTTTAATGCCACGGTGGCGAGATTTTAACAACCTCGCCTGGTGTACAGGAGGTTGTGGATTCGATGCTGACCCTGATACCTGTATATTTGGAGTTTGCATGTTCTTCCCGTGGTCGCGTCGATTTTTCTCCCGGTCCTCTGGTTTTTTATTCCACATTTAAAAACATGCGTTCAGAGTATTTGGCTGCTATACATTTCCACGTGAAAAGCCACTTCATTGAGCTATCATTTATGGCCAGGTCGCTTCTGAAAAAAAGCTGTATAGCTCAGTGGGCCTTCCCTGGTAAAATTAAAATAGACTTTTGTAGTTTATTAAATAACTAGTGAGTTAACATGCTGGATTTGCTTGCAATCTATAAGTTGCTGGTTCAGTTCAATCTCCTGGCACAGCAAGTTAAATAATGGTGCAAGTTTCTTGCCTCTGGAATTTCGTTGTTTTGTGTTTTACCTGAAAATATGTTGCTTTCGCCACGGTTCCGCAATGTTGATTGGCAGATCGCGTGCGATGTGCTAAAGCGCAGGGTGCCCCCGCCTCGTGCAAGGTGGAGGCCCTTCCAAAAGTGGCATAAGCAGATTTCTGGGCTGTTCCTTTAACTTCATATGGCTACAGATTAATGTAATGGATGAGACATAATGGGGTGTTTCTTGAAGGATGCCAATCTAATTGTGCAGTGACTAGACCAGGAGTATATGTGTGTGCGTTTGAGCCGTTGTGTGTGGGTGTGTCCGTGATTGTTTGTGTGTGAGCGTGTGTGCTGGGCGTGGTGCTGGCCATCCACCTCGTGAGCCGTGCCGGCCTTCATAGCTACTCGCTAACAGCACTTGCTCCAACAGTCTGTTAAGGCTATACTGGGGATCTTTGTCTTTGTTTTTCTTAAGAGTGTGCATGTGAATGTGCGAATATTGGAGGAAGTAGCCACCCTCTGTGAGTGGCTAGCGGATGTGCCATCTGTTGAGGAAGTTTCAAGTCGTGAGACCAGGAAAACTGTGAGGCAGAGACAATCTCCCAAGTAAACTGCTGATTTTTTTCAGGCTAGTCCTATATAACATTTTCTGTCCATCTGCTGCAGCAGATGTGTAGTAAATTTCAACAGGACCTACATCTTTGCTTTATCGACCACGTAAATGCCTATTATACAATCAATAGGCCAGGGCTCTGGGTTACTGTTCATGCTTTTGGGGTCTCTGACCCTCTGCTCTCAATCATTAAAGACTTTCATGATGTTGGGCAGGCCCAGGTAAAGCTGCGTCGTCGGAAATCAGTGCCATTCCCTGTACATCCCGGGGTTCGACAGGGATGTCATCTGGCTTCTACATTATTTAAAAAAAATTACATGTGGTTTGAGAAGCTTTCCGTGGCTGTAACAGAGGAATGTTTATCTGGTATATATACAATAGGAGGCTGATCAATTCCTGGATGCGGTTAAGGGATTACTCACTAATGGTCAACCATGTTACATATGCTAATGATCTGGTCATTGCTGCTCACTCTAAGATGGAGTTGGGGACTGGCTGCTGAACTTGGAAAGTGTAACTAAGAAATGGGGCCTTACCATTAGCCCCACATAAACAAAACACCTGCCTGGGTATTTTGTGTCATAAAACACTCCAGCCCCACCACTCCCGATTAGTTTTGGGACAGTTGTGCAGAGAGTGGAGAAGTTTCCGTATCTGGGCAGTGTGCGTATGACCAACTCTGGACAGGTAGCGGAGATGTCAAACCAAATAAGTTGAGTGCAATAATATTTTCATCAGCTGCGTAACACCGTGTGAATCAACCGGGGCTATAACTTTATATGAGTTGCGTGTCTTCTCGGCCACAGTAATGCTTTCCCTTCTCGATGCTTGTGAAAAGTGGAGCCCTTTAAAGGAACATCTGCGCCGGTTTTAAACATTCAAGGTGGCCTGTCTACGATCCATCCTGGGTTTAACCAGACTGGATTGTGAGGAGCTCACAGATCCTTGAAAGATCTGGACGCAGGCTCATCAGTGTGCTTCCCCCGGAAGGCGAGGATGCGTTGGCTGGGTCATGTACCCAACAGGCCCAGCCACCGCATGTCGAAGTTGCTTCTGTTTGGCTGGATAGAGGGGGCTAAATTGGTGTGGTTCGGACTAGACAGCAGATGGACTGATTTGGTACAGAAGGATGTGGGGCTGATTGGACTTGCCAATGACTGATACATTGGTGTTAAGATTGGCCTCTGTGGAGAAGGCGAGTTAAGGACGCTACTGGACAGTTGGAGGCAGTCTCCCTCCAGCAACAGCAGAGGGCAGAGGAGCGACGCTCACAACAACGAGCGGAGCGCCAGGTGACTAAAACGGAGAAACTTGGCACAGTCGGGAGCATAGGTGGTGCATCTGCCAGTCATCTCCGTCAGTCAACCCATGGCACCTGGGTGTATACCATGACCTCCTGTCAGTGAGCCTTCGACACTTCACGTGGCCTCACAGTGCACTTAGCCTAGCACAGGCACTGCGGTGACGTCACTGCCACTTAATGGTGAACGGCAGTTGATGATTTTGTATGTGCTTTAGTGTGTGAGTATATGAGCATGCGTTCCTCTGTGTGAGTGTGTGCGTGCGTGCCTGATTGTTCCATGCAGGGTACACATGTTGTGCCTTACAATTGGTGCCTCGTTTGTTCAAACAGGTACATTGCAGTGATTGACGCCTGCTCTCTACAGCCAGACATTGATATCCTGCCACAGGGAGACCAGACGATGATCGGAGAGCGGGTCAGTGTACTACCACCATTTACACAATCATTACAAAGTGCACGCCTAACCAAATCTCCTTCAGGGTAAAGTTTACTACCACGTGATTCATTAAGATCGGATTAAAGCTTTATGCAGGCCCAGCTGCAGGTGCTGTCAGACGTGGGGGGGTGAGGGGGGAGTCCAGTTGAGCTGCTGTGTGGAGCCGCCACCGTAATGGTGATTCACCGCGAGGTGGAGTGGACTTGGGTGGGCCAGCAGGACGTTGATGGTGCAGGGCCCTACCCCGGGCACCCACCCAGCACCAGCCCTGGCCTCATGCATTGAACCAAAGTTCATTGTCAGTAACATGAAATGTCTATGCATTTTGGTTGTATCCTTATCAAATTCATAGTTATTCTGAATTGCTTTGTGATTGCCACGCAGTGGACGCTCTTTGCATGGCATATACAAGGTGTGCTGCTCGTGTGGATAATGAAGCTGACAGAAGGGACTCGAGAATGATGCTTTGACGTCAACTTCTGCGGGTTGTCTTTGTTGCATGGTGTGACACCGATTGCATCACAATTGGGTGATAATTGGTATAAAAAGCCAACAAAACTTTTGGTAAATATTTCCCTGATGTGTTACTTATCTCTCGACTATTCCATTCTGTCCAGCGTAATTAAGTGATCCAATTTCCCATCCTGTGGCAAATGCTGTTTACCCCTTTCAGCTTTATTTAATCGGATTATTTATATTATTCCCTATTCATCATCTCAGCAGTACTCACCAGAAGCTGTTACTGGGTGACCTGATTCCAACATTTTGACTGCTGTATTAAAAGTTTCTGGGATGCATTTTCAATCGCCTCTTCAGTATTCACTACCTTTTGGAAATACTGTACATTTTTCCCTGCTGCATCCTGGTACTCCGTATTTCTCACCTTGTCTCATAACAAATAGACGTGAAAGTAATGTGCCTGGATGGAGATTGATTTGTCCGTTATCTACACATATTATAGTCTTTTTTATATATATAGAAGCCTAAATTTATAATAAAAAAAACTTGCCAGTTCATACGTTTGTTGAAATAAGAGCAGAAGGAAGAAATAAATAAAAAGCGTTTGTCATGGTGTATGATGTGCCATGACGGATGTCAAAGCCTGAACACATTTTGATACTTTTGTTCCAGCCTTCAAACGTATGCATATTTCACAGTTTATCGTGATGATGATGATTGTGTAGGCCAATGAAGAGAAACTAGCTATTAGAGGTTTAGTTCAAAGAGATTTAGCCATTCAATTGCTTTGTCTGAGAGTTGGTGAATTGCAGAGTATTGGTGGGGTCGCTGATGAGCTGTATGTAGGGGAAGCTGTGAAGTGTGGTGGTGGGGGTCACTGATGAGCTGTATGTAGAGGAAGCTGTAACAGTGTGGTGGTGAGCTCACTGATGAGCTGTGTGTAGAGGAAGCTGGGCAGTGTGGTGGTGGGGTCACTGATGAGCTGTATGTAGAGGAAGCTGGGCAGTGTGGTGGTGGGGGTCACTGATGAGCTCTGTGTAGAGGAAGCTGTAATAGTGTGGTGGTGAGCTCACTGATGAGCTGTGTGTAGAGGAAGCTGGGCAGTGTGGTGGTGGGGTCACTGATGAGCTGTATGTAGAGGAAGCTGGGCAGTGTGGTGGTGGGGGTCACTGATGAGCTCTGTGTAGAGGAAGCTGTGAAGTGTGGTGGTGGGGATCGCTGATGAGCTGTGTGTAGAGGAAGCTGGGCATTGTGGTGGTGGGGTCACTGATGAGCTGTGTGTAGAGGAAGCTGTGAAGTGTGGTGGTGGGGGTCACTGATGAGCTGTGTGTAGAGGAAGCTGGGTAGTGTGGTGGTGGGAGTCACTGATGAGCTCTGTGTAGAGGAAGCTGTGAAGTGTGGTGGTGGTGGTCACTGATGAGCTGTGTGTAGAGGAAGCTGGGTAGTGTGGTGGTGAGAGTCACTGATGAGCTCTGTGTAGAGGAAGCTGTGAAGTGTGGTGGTGGGGTCACTGATGAGCTGTGTGTAGAGGAAGCTGGGTAGTGTGGTGGTGGGGTCACTGATGAGCTGTGTGTAGAGGAAGCTGGGTAGTGTGGTGGTGAGAGTCACTGATGAGCTCTGTGTAGAGGAAGCTGTGAAGTGTGGTGGTGGTGTCGCTGATGATCTGTATGTAGAGGAAGCTGTGCAGTGTGGTGGTGGGGTCACTGATGAGCTGTGTGTAGAGGAAGCTGTGAAGTGTGGTGGTGGTGTCACTGATGAGCTGTGTGTAGAGGAAGCTGGGCAGTGTGGTGGTGGGGTCACTGATGAGCTGTGTGTAGAGGTAGCTGGGCAGTGTGGTGGTGGAGTCACTGATGAGCTCTGTGTGTAGAGGAAGCTGGGTAGTGTGGTGGTGGTGTCGCTGATGAGCTGTGTGTAGAGGAAGCTGGGCAGAGTGGTGGTGGGGTTACTGATGAGCTCTGTGTGTAGAGGAAGCTGGGTAGTGTGGTGGTGGGGTTACTGATGAGCTGTGTGTAGAGGAAGCTGGGCAGTGTTGGACACGTTTCTGGAATCGCACAAATTGGTAAACTCTGTTTCGATGCTCTGCATCACGCAGGGTTTATGTACGATTACAAAACGTTTAGCGCATCCCCCTTTCTCAGGACTGCAGTCGTTTCTGAATGCTTCCTCCTGTACCTTTGACTCCATGTTTCCCGCATGCATCGCCACCACCGCTCTGCAGGGCATCAACCTCAGCGGAGGACAACGGCAGCGAATCAGCGTGGCCCGGGCCATCTACCAGGAGACCAACATGGTGTTCCTGGTGAGCGCCAGCACTGCCCGCTCCACCTGCCTTCTCCTTTACAGGCATGGCTGCATCTCGCCATCTGTGACCTGGTGTGACGCCCAGCTGGTCGATAGGCTTCGTCGCTCTATTGTGTTTAGTTTGTCGTCCTTCCCCCCCGCACCCCCGATTAGCACGGTTGGCTCTGTACGGTGCGAAAGAAGTTCAACATACATACATACTCACATAAACAAGCTGTTATCAAAGGGCACATGCAAACCACTGGTAGTGAATTGAGGAGAACTACTGTTAGTCACAGTTTATATATTGGCTGCATGATCTTCTACCTCATAGAGCAGTGATGGGAAATCTGGACTATAATTTTTTTTTTTAGCTAAGGCCCACTGAGCTATATTGCTCTTTTTCAGAAACGACCTGGCCACAAATGATACCTCAACGAAGTGGCTTCTCACGTCGAAATGTATAGCTGCCAAATACTCGAAACGCACTTGGATTCTATACGTGGACGGAAAAACCAGAGGACCCGGAGAAAAATCCAAATAACCACGGGGAGAGAGAGACACACAAACTCCAAATATACAGGTGTCAGGGTTGTGATCAAACCCACGACTTCCAGTATACGAGGCGAGGTAGTTAACAGGTGACCCGTGAGCCGCAGGTTGCCCGCAGAGGCGAAGTGGAGTTCATGTTCTTACGCGTTAGTTTAAACACACACAGGGGAGCTGCGATTTGAGAAAAGTTGCGACGAACCCAAACCTTACATGGTGAAGTGTTTCGTATTTTGATTCGATATGATCCGCAATGGACTTAAGATCTCGTAATGTTTGTTTTATCAAAGTAAGACACGATTTTGTATCCCGTTATGGCGGGTGAAACAATGGGCCGAATTTCTTAAACACTCCGGCTTCCGTCCACCCAGCAGCATAAATGGGTACACCGCAGTTAGTTAATTGGAGGGCCGTGTGTGTTGTGATCAAGCGTGGATACATCCACTTCTTCCAAGACGTCCGAAGAGAAGTGAGCGAGCAGAACAAAATATCCTCTCGTGGGTCTCTCTAGAGCTTGGTCTCGTGGAAGCCACTGGAGTTATGCACTTTTAAATCTTAATTGAAAACTCGTTTCTTTAGAATAACTTTACGTGTTTAGTTTGTTGTGCTTCCCCTTGCACCTCTGGCTAGCACGGTTGTCTACATACAGTGCGAAAGAAGTTCAACACACACATACACACGTACATGAACAATCAATGACAAGGCTGCACCTTTATATCAACAAACCTGGAGCCATGAGCCACCCCCGCTGGGCCCGGTGGGGATGTTTGCAGACAGAGCCAGAGGGAGCACTGACCTGGGAGAAGAGGAGTCCCTCGGCCGACTCGCGTACCGCCGGCGACCATTTCCAGCAGCGTTGACTCCCCCCCCCCCCCGTCCTCCCATCCCTCCGCTCCCACCCGTTCAGGATGACCCATTCTCGGCGCTGGACGTGCACCTGAGCGACCACCTCATGCAGGAGGGAATCCTGAAGCTGCTGCGCGACGACAAGCGCACCGTGGTGCTTGTCACACACAAGCTGCAGTACCTGCCGCACGCCGACTGGGTAGGTGCCGCTGCCCCACACCCCCTTCCGCCGTGTCCTGGCACCGCCGCTGCCCCGTTCCTTGTCTCGTGGCCGGGATCCTCGCTGGAGGGGCAGGCGGTGACCCGCCGCAGAGGGGTGCTGCACGAACCGTCGGCAGGAGGATTCGGAATTGTGAGAGCTGCTGCGGGAGACCGGTGGTGTGCGACGACGTGGCTGTGCGTTTTTGATTCGCACTTCCCGGCACTGGTGCAGGTGGTTTGTGTGGTAGGGTTTCTCACAGGCAGAGTGTGTGGATTGCATCTGAACAAACGCTCTGAGCAGGAACCTCTTCAAATGTTTTTGCTCGTTACTCAGTGAGCCTTTCCTGTGCAAAGATGTATTACTATATTACAGTGATTAAATTCGTGTTTAAAATGTATGAATGATAAGAAAACCGCCGGGATGTAAACTTCGCAATGGCCTGTTCATTGCTCGTCACCCGTACTCCATTCTATGAATTTTCAGATAATCGCCATGAAGGACGGGACCGTGCTTCGGGAGGGCACCCTCAAGGACATCCAGAACAACGACCCCGAGTTGTACGAGCACTGGAAGACGCTCATGAACCGGCAGGACCAGGAGTTTGAGAAGGTTCCTTCGTGCACCCATTCACAAAGCACGTCCTACCTTCAACACTTTTGTTGCGGACAAAAATTGCGTGACTAAATCCGCAATAAAATTACATTTTCATGCTGCCAATTCACATGCAGACGTCCATTCTTCTCCCTGTTCAGTTCAGCACCAGGGGATGTTCCTTTCAGCCCAGACATTCATTTCCTTCTTTGTCCAATAGCATAAGCTTAACCCACAGAAGTATCCATGCTTGCGTTCGAGGTCTTAGCCAGGTGTAAGCAAATGTCATTGTAGACCTCAAATGTACTGGGCTTTGGTGCCGCTTCCGCTGCAGGAAACGATATCTGAGAGCAAGACAGGTGCTGGAGCGCAAGAACCTCCGGCGGGCGATGTACTCGCGCGAGGCCCAGCTCAAAACCCAGCAGGACGAGGAGGAGGAAGGTGCGGTACCTACCCCCAACGGCCGCTCGCACTCCAGCCCTCGGGGCCCGTCACGCTCCGCCCCCTCCGAACGTAGTCATCACGCGTTGTGTATTGGTTGTGGCGGGACACGGACATTGTAAGCGTAATGCGCCACATTGTTACGATACCGATAGAATACAATCCCAAAGGTTTAATATTTAAAGAAAAACATGGCCGCTGATTGACGTCTTGCCCCTAACCTGATTTTCTGCCGAATAATTTTTTTTAAGCATAAGCAGCCTGCACATCCTTAGGACGTGTCCCTCCCTCCTTTTTTTTACCTCCCTCCCGCACTGACTACGCATTTGCGTGGGATACACGCGGTCGGGGTGGAGGGTGGGGGTGGGGGGGAATCGTAACATCATCGCGACGGACGAACCCGGCTCAGTGCTGTGGGACACGGGGGGATGTCATCACGCGGATGTGCCCAGTGACGTCTCCACCGCGCACGCAAGCTTGGGCGTGCGCCAGCCAGGAATCCAGACAAGAATTCAGGCAGAATTTTTTTTTTAATATACAATATCAAACTGGCGTATTCATACAAACTAGTGGTGTAAATTTAAAGTGTTTCCGTCATTAATGCGGATTTCGGTTCCCGAACGAATACATGATAAGGTCGCACTCATTACACACAAATTTATTCCCACAAATGAAAAAAAATACCTTGCTGATCTCGTCAAGGAGCATACACCATCACGCAAACTCCGGTCATCCTCGCAGCAGCGGCTATTGGATAGCCATCGAACAAAGATGGTCCCCACATTGAGCCATCTGGAATGTCTTCTTGTTTCTTTCGGTAAAGTCACGTAGAAGGGAAGTAATAAAATAATAAAAATAAAACATAATAAATATTTTTTTAATAAATATTTTATTACTTCCCTTCTACGTGACTTTACCGAAAGAAACAAGAAGATGAATCCCTGCAGTCACGAAAACCATCTGGAATGCTTTTCTTTCCGACATTAGGAAGCCACATGAGCTATGTACTTTTAAATCTCGATTGAAAACGAATTTCTTTAGAACTGCTTTTTGTCTTAAGTTTGTTGTCCTTCCCCCGGACCTCTGATTAGCATCGTTGGCTATGTACGGTATGAAAGAAGTTAAAAATTAATTATCCATGCAATGCAACCAGTTTGCACCAAACAGAAAGTGATTTCCACCCGAGATTATTATTCCACAAAAGGGTGTGGGCGTTGGGTGAGACGTTGCTGGGATTAGGGAACATCCACACTTACACGTCGACTTCGGAACACTGTCAAGATTTTTCGATCATTGTCAACCAGTCGGAGATCTTACGAGTGACAGAAAACCCCATCTTGCCTTACCCCAAGCACATCATCACCCTTATCATCGACATTTTCATGGTTGCAATTCCACCTTTTTCTCCTTCCCTCTGTCTCCCCTTCCTCTTGCAATTTATAAGTGAAGATAGCGGAACATTTAAATAAAAAACAATGGTGCAGAATGAACGCATTCCTGCAATCCCATTCTCAATCTGCAAAGTGTACTTCCTCTACTGCCACAGGAAACATACGCAACTCTTCCTTGTAATCTCTCTAATTGTTCTTGACAAGTTTAATTGAGCTCGATACATCCTCCATAATTGAGAACCCTCAGCATGTGCAGTTGATTGAATGGCATTCTCCTGTGTGGCAGTGCAGCGTGTGTGATGTCTGACATCCAGTGTGGCAGTGCAGCGTGTGTGATGTCTGACACCCGGTGTGGTAGTGCACCGTGTGTGATCTCTGACACCTGTGTGGTGGTGCGCTCTGTGTGTGATCTCTGAAATCCCGGCCCGCAGAAGAGGAGCTGGAGAGCGATGACGAGGACGACGTATCTTCCGTATTCCGTCAGCGTGCCAAGCTGCCGTGGGGCGCGTTCCTGCGCTACCTCACGTCGGGCGGCGCTCCTCTGCTGCTGCTGCTCATCCTCTCCCAGCTGCTCAAGCACTCGGCCATGGTGGCCATCGACTTCTGGCTCTCCGAGTGGACGTCCGACGCCTACAACTGCACGGGCGTGGCGCAGCAGCCCAACTGCAGCCACGGCAACGGCACGCAGGCGGTATGGCGGAGCCCGGGGCGAGCGCGCAGCCTCTCTGCGGAAGGAAGACGAAACCCCCTCCCGCACAAAAAAACGAACACGTGGCTCTCGTCTCGTGGCTGCTAGACACGCTGAGCTGCATGTTCGCGAGCTGTCCGGCACAAATAAGGACCTCAAAGTGACGGTCTAGCGCATCGCCATGGCACGACATGTGGTGTCCCCATCCCCACGTGTTTTAACACAACGTCCGTGCGGTGACATTCACTCTGAAGTGATAATCATAATAATACTGTCATGTTATATAGCGTCATTCATGCTCATAGCATCTCATAAATACTTCTTTTACAAAGTATACGTTTAAAAAGTATATTTTTTACAGATATATTTTGTAGGAAAAAAAAACCAGGAAGGTACAGCGTACAGACAGGACGGGGCTGGATGGGGGAACGCGAGGGGTAGAAGCGTAACGGAAGAACACCAACAAGCGTGTTGGGGTCCCACACGGGGCATGAGCATTATAAGAGGAAGAGAGAGGGGGAGCGGAGTTGCTGATGCTTTGAGGAACGCTGTGGGGGAGGGAAATTAGGGTATTAGGGTGTGGCGTTAGAATTGGTGAGTGAGTGAATGAGGGTATGTCTGCTGGGGGAAGTAGGAGGGATGTGTTAACTATGAAGTATGTTTTTAATCATTAACTAGAAACCTGCAAGTCCTTTGGACGTGATCATCCTTCCCTCCCTACTAGCCAGCCAACAAAACTTTTGATCTTTTTTCTGACCTGCCTATACTGGACATCTGTGAAAAAATACGTAATTTCTAAAGGGATTCCTCCAGTTATATAGAGCCCTGTCTCTCTTCACCTTTACCATGCCTTCTCTCTATTGCATTTTCCAATTTATCTCGATTTCTCACTTTGTTATCTCTATCAGTTTCTCTGTTCCTCTGTCCCCTCTTCTGGCTCTCCCTCCCTCTTTATATATTCCTCTCCTTCCTCCACACCATTTCATCCTCTTCCCTCCCGCTTTCTCTCCCTGTTTCTCTCACCTCTCTCCCTCGCTCTCCTTATTCCCACCTCTCCATTTCCCATCTGAATCTCCCTTGCCCTCTCCTTAATCCTGCCACTGTTTGTCACTTTCCCTCACTATCCATTTCACGCCCTTTCACTCTCTCCCCACCCCTCTCCTCTCCATTCCTCTGCCTCTTCCTTCCTCCACTACCTCCCTCTTCTACCTCGATCCTCTATCGCAATTTCACGGGATGCACATCCAGGGTGGGGGGGGCGGGTGACGTCAGCACGAAGCGTGAACCCGGTTCAAAGCTGTGCAATGCGGGTGACGTCACCACTGCACACACGCACTTGGGCGCACTCCCGGCAGGCAGACAGGAATCCAGCCAGGAGTCCATCCAGAAAACGTTGTAATCAAATAGCATGTCAAAGATTCAAGCTGTAATTGGACAGCCTGGTACCTACGGATTACGTATGAATATTCAGGGTAAGAGCTATTACTTTTCTTGACTCAATCTTCATTTACTTTCCACTTCTGGGTTTCTATCCCTTCCCATGTAAATTAGAACCAAAATATTTTTTAAATTATAATTTGGGGGACCCCCTGAAGCTTGGAGTCACTGTCCAGTTGCACCACATTCCCACCCATCTCATCAGGCCTGGGTGCACCTCCACGAGTGCACATCACCTCACATGAAGTGTTAAGTTTGACCGTATAGTTGGCTGCAGTGGCATGTATAGTCTATTCTATAACGCGGTAGTTGTGTTCCTGAAGAACACCGTGTTATAATAAATAATATAGGGTAAAGCAGTCTGTGATAACACGTGAGATGTGTAGACAGGGTGAACAAAGCGTGAGGCACTTGGGTAGCATCTAGAAGCATCCAGTAACATCCCGCCTTGTGTGATGCTACGCCGAGGCAGCCGTACAACCGCTTATTCCTACTCGCCTGACGTTGTTCTGTTCACTCAATCGCGTTACATCCAACCGCGTTTTAGAAAATGTTTTCCCTAATACATTCATCGCGTTATATCCGATTCGCGTTGTGAAAACAACACGAGGCATTGTAGGAGAACAGACTATACCTACAAATGTGAGCAGCAAGGCCGCTGTGTACGAGACACTTGCCAGTTGTTTAGACACTCCACTTTATTCTCGTATACGATTCTGATTGAGTGTGATGGTTATTGAGATAGTGTGGTGGTTGTTATTGAGTATGGCGAGATGTTAACGACCTTGCCTGGTATACCAGAGGTCATGGGTTCGATCCCGACCCTGACACCTGCTGTATATTTAGAGCTCGTGTGTTCTCTCCGTGGTCACATGGATTTTCGCTTCCACATTTAGAAACACGCGTTTAGAGTATTTTTGGCTGCTGTACATTTCCACGTGATAAGCCACTTCGTTGAGCTATCAACGAAGTGGCCATGTCGCTTCTGAAAAAGAAGCTAATAGCTCAATGGGATTTACCTGGTAAACTAAACATGGAATAGTTTTTATGTGATTTGTTTACCTTTGCTATACTATCGCGTCTTCGTATTGTTTGTTGTTGTAACCTTCTGACCCGCCGCTATTGGACATCTGTGCAAAATAGCTTATAGCTCAGCGGATTCCTCCAGTACTGTATAAATAGAGATTCTGATTCCGAAATACAATCACTGTGTCGCCTTGCAGCTGCAGGGCTGCCGCATCCTGTGCATCTACCCCATGGTATTCGGGCTGCTCTGCTGCTCGGGTATCGCGCTCTGCTTCATCACGTCCCTCACCGTGGAGTGGACCGGCCTCAAGACGGCTAGGAACGTGCACAACAACATGCTCAAGAGGATCGTGCTGGCACCTATGAGGTAGCAGCAGCGCGCACGCCCGGGCCCTTGTGATGCACGAGGGACGTTGGTTGAGTCGTCCGAGCGAGGCCCTCGCAGGAGGCCCTCGGCATGATTGCGGTGCTTCTTTAGCAGAGATGAGCCCGAAGGTAGTGACCATCAGCCCCTCCACACCTGACGAAGGCTTCCCCTGGCGTTACTCAGCTTCTCATGAGTACGTGCCTTAGGGCATCTTCCACGAGACTTGCCCCTGGGTGGCGGAGTGGCACAGTGGTTGTTCTTCTTTCTCCCCACACCTCTGATGAGTGCGGTTGGCTACTTACGGTGTCACAAAAATATGTATACACAGTGGAAACACTCGTGCCACGCAGCAGCAACGGTCTGGGTCTGCCATTCCCGACTCAGGCTTCTTTATCTGTGGCGTTTGTATGATCTCCCCCTTGTTTGGCATGGGTTTCCTCTGGGTTTCTCCAGTTTCCTCCAATACCTAATAAATCATACAATATAACTAATATTGGCCAGACATTCCAATGCTAAAAAAAATCACCTAATAATGACTCATTTGAGATTACACTCAGCAGCAATATTGCCCTCATACTATGAAAAACTTGGCAGGACCCTCCTGAAAACGAGTCTTGAGACTCAGTGAGGCTCTCCTGGGTAAACAAGCATCACTAAAAATTATAGGCACGATGGGAGATGAAATGTCACATGCTTTAAAACTTCTCTGGGGAGGAAGGAGGTCATTTACCACTCGTAGGAGAGCAGCTCTGGCAGAATGGTGTTGGCAGAAACTCGATTGTACTGGGTTTGTTAGAGGATGGAGAGAGAGGTGAATGGAAGTCACGTGATGAGATGACCCTACCTAGGAATCTTTCCAAGGCAAGGGTGGCTTGAGATAGGATGAAAGTTTTCAGGGTTGCTGGCTTCCAATGTGAAGTTTTTTTTCTGGATCAGAGGAACAGCAGCATCGGTCTTGAGCGCTAAGACAACAGTATCGGTGACGAGATGTTAACTACCTCACCGGGTATACAAGAGGTCGTGGGTTCGATCCTGACCCTGACACCTGTATATGTGGGGTTTGCCTGTGTCTCTCTCTCCCCGTTGTCGCTTGAATTTTTCTCCGGATCCTCCGGGTTTTCCCTCCACATTTAGAATGAACGTGCGTTTAGAGTATTTGGCTGCTATACATTTCCACAAGTAAGCCACTTCGTTATGCTATCATTTGTGATAGCCAGGTCGCTTCTGATAAAGAGTTACATAGTTCAGTGGGCCTTACCTGGTGAAATAAAAAGGGTTTAGTTTTAGTTTTTAGAATTGGATATAAGTATTGACAATGTGTTTACAGGCAAGTACCGTCAGGTGTAAGTCATGCTTTTTTTTTCTGACTTCAGGTATTTTGACACGACTCCGCTGGGACACATCCTCAACCGCTTCTCAGCTGACACGAACATCATGGACCAGGTGGGAACGGTGTGACACAGACATTGTAAGACGGACATTGTTACAAATGTGTGGTCCTGCACTCCGTCATCAAAATAGTCGCCATCTGCTTTACATTTGGATGACGACCAACACAGCTCGGATGAAGGATTTCCCATTTTCTGTTGTAGATCTGTGCCGCTTGCAGTTAATCTTAAATAAAAACCCAATGCAGGACCCTCCCAGCTTTTCTGGATAAATAATACTATGTAAAAAAAAGTTTTCTACCTGGATTCCTGTGCGCCTGGCTGGCTAGCGCACAAGTGCACGTGCTCAGTAGTAATGTGACTGATCGCATCTGCGTGATGATGTCACCCGCATGTCACAGCGTTGAGCTTGGTTTGTGCATCATAATGATGTCACACCTCCCCTGCCACCCACCCTCCACCCTGGCCAACCCATGGCACCTGGGTCTGTCCCATGACCTACTGCCAGCGGGCGTTCGACACTTTACGTGGCCTTAAAGTGCACATATCCTAACACAAGGGCCGTAGTGATGTCACCGCCACTTAATGGCAAATGGCGGTTGTTCTTGTTGTTGGAGGAGAGGAATACAGAGGGAGAGGTAGAAGAGGGGACAGAGACATAGAGAAACGGATGGAAATGGAGGCAAAGTAAGACAAATTGGGATATACAGCACCGAGAAGGCAAAAGGTGGAGAGACACAGGGTTCTATGTAAGTTTAAAAGTTTTGCTGGCTGGCTGGGTGGGACAGATGGGCAGTCACTTCCAAAGGACTTGCGGGTTGCTAATAAACGAGTTAAAAGATTCCCAAGGGAGGCGGTCCCCAAATTACAAACTTTTTAAAAAGGACCATAAAAAAGCATAAAACATTAAATACATTTTCTCTGCTAAATATCGATAAAATACCACTTTTCGGAGCCACCTGGGCGGGAAGCAATAATCTACATCACTCGCCCCATTGGATCTGCCGCTGCTGCTCAGTCAAACGAAGTTTTGATGTTAAAATCCCACGAGTAAGTGCTGTGGGGAGCATTGTGAATGGTCACAACTGTTGAGTGGCAGTCACTCCCCCTGAGAGACGAGACTCGGTACAGGAGAGAAACGGTTTCCGCTGTCCTTCGCCTACCTCCACAAGCTGTTATCGTCTCAACATTTGAATTCATAACAATTGTTCACGAGGGTGCGGGATAGCCGTTAAAGAGCACTGACAAATCCAACAAGGAACGATTGTCGACCGGTAATGAGACGTTGTCACAGCTCTCTCGTGTAGCCGCATAAACCCTTTATTTACTCCCAAACTATGTTGTCTTTGGCCTGTGAAATGGAATTCCCGATCTACAGATGCAAAATGTACTGCATGTACGCACACAGATAAAAGGGACCACACGCAAAAGATAAATCTATATAGGTACACCCATTAGCATAACGAGCGTGGGGGCAGGGGGTGCCTTGCCCCTCCCCCCTCCCAGGTGGCCAAGGCTTCGAGTTGGGCCCCCCTTGACAACCACCATGAGATATACACGTAGGCTTTTGCGACCAATATTTTCCAGTATGATGTTAATTACCCAGAAGACACACAAGTCAGCGATGAAACTAAAGAAGATGAATCTGTGAATAAGAGCCTGTGTTTATACATTGCGCACCTATATACACTGAAGTTTTACTGCCTCGTGCAGTAACTATCCTGTGTTTATACATTGCGCACCTATATACACTGAAGTTTTACTGCCTCGTGCAGTAACTATCCTGTGTTTATACATTGCTCACCTATATACACTGAAGTTTTACTGCCTCGCACAGTAACTATCCTGTGTTCATACATTGCTCACCTATATACTGAAGTTTTACTGTCTCGTGCAGTAACTATCCTGTGTTTATACATTGCGCACCTATATACACTGAAGTTTTACTGCCTCGTGCAGTAACTATCCTGTGTTTATACATTGCGCACCTATATACACTGAAGTTTTACTGCCTCGTGCAGTAACTATCCTGTGTTTGTACTTCACTTTTGCTGTAAATTCTAAAAGTGAGATGTACCTTATTATATTGCTTTCATTTTAATAAATGTGAAAATACATTATCACATGGGCAAGCACAGGGAATTTTACTGAACAGATAGACACAGAAGGGACACGCGTTCTCATGGGAATGGTCATAATGATACTGGGCACACTGATACACGATAACAGAGACAGACAAAGACAAAGATTCGTCATATAGCCTTAACAGATTATTGGGGTAAGTGTTGTTAAAGAACAGCACCTATGAAGGCAGGTACGGCACACGAGGGGGTGGGTGGCCAGCAGCACGCCCGACCACCTCTGTCTCCCTAATGGCGATGTTTTACTAATCTGTCTGAGTCGACCTAGGGGAGGTGGACTACCAGTTCAGATTATTGTCACTGGTGTTGGTGGCCGTTAGAGCGAGAATCGAACTGGGGTCTCCGGGTTCATAGCCCAGCATGCGAGCCGCTACACTAACCGCTCCCCTTCCCGGATAGACAGGATAAACAGGCACAAACAGACAGAGGCACATGCCGACCACTGCTTCTTGGTGATTCCTCACAGCAAATCCCGACGACGCTGGAGTCACTGATGCGCTCGGCGCTGCTGTGCCTGTCGGCGCTCGGGATAATCGCCTACGTGACGCCCATCTTCCTCATCGCTCTCGTGCCGCTCGCCATCGCCTACTACTTTATCCAGAAGTACTTCCGTGTTGCCTCTAGGTGAGCGCACCAGCCTGCGGTGCCCTGTACGTACGTACATGTGCATGTTGAACTTCTTTCGCACCGACGAATGTGTTGAGCTCTTTTCATTTCTGCTTTCGCACCCCTGCCAATGCACCGTCACATTTATTTTTCTCTATGGGACCGTTTTTTGCAAGTATCAAAATGATGGAAAAAAAAGAACAGGCTTTGTACCCTTTTTTATAACTATACAGAAGGAGTTAAGATCATGACTTAAAGCTTTCATGACTGCAGAAATTCATATTCTTTGGGTCTTTCGGTAAAATCACATAGATAGGATCAAAGAAAATAACAAAAAACTACGACATTTCGATCGCAACACAAGCGGTCGTCATCAGGAAAAGGGGGTTAGCTTATAAAGGCAACCTATTTATAAAGGTCTGAAATGGGCTAGCCCAAATGTCAGCAGCATGGGCGGGGAAGCTAATGTTAATGGTGGAAAACCCACAACCGTCGCGGTCGCTGCCAAAGAATAAGGTGTTAAGATGTTCAAACACCAAATAGACACCCATTGCAAGGTATCAATTCTGCATTAACCACACATGTTTGTGGTAAAACATGCAAACAAACATGCTCTGATAATATATGCTTTGTCTTTGAAACTGATTGGATACACCAGAGACAGCCTTCTCTATGGGCTAGTCTCACCAGTGTTGGACCAGAGGACGCCAAAAGGCGAACAGCACAAAGGCAATGCACGTATCAGAGCATTAAAAGCTAAGTTTGAGCAGTTATATCTACGGGATAATTTTTGCCAGTATTATTGCCAGAAAGGTTAAAGACTATTTTTTTTCCCTTTTATTTAATATACGAACTTGACGTCCTCTGGTAATTATGGACGTTCCGTGAAACGCAGATGTCTGTGTCGCTCCGCAGGGACCTGCAGGAGCTGGACGACAGCACCCAGCTGCCCCTATTCTCACATTTTTCCGAAACCGTCGAGGGCATCACCACCATCCGTGCCTTCCGGTATTCTTCATTGCTCCTCTATTCATGCAGTAATAAATAGCTGCACCTTCGTGGGGTTGCCACGGTGGTGAGATGTTAACCACCTCGCCTGGTATACAGCAGGTCGTGGGTTCGATCCTGACCCTGACGACTGCTCTATGTTTGGAGTTTGCGAGTCTCTTTCTCCGTGGTCGCGTGGATTTTTCTCCGGGTCCTCCAGTTTTCCCTTCCACATTGAGAATCAATATCACGCGTTTAGAGTATTTGGATGCTAGAAATTTTCACGTGATAAGCCACTTCGTCGAACTATAATTTGTGATAGCCAGGTCGCTTCTGAAAAAGAGCTATATACTCAGTAGGCCTTAATTTATAAATTGAAAAATTGCTTAGTTTGTGTTTTAAATACTAAACGAGTGTTGTATGTATGTTTAACTTCTTTCGCACCGTGCATAGCCAACTGTGCTGATCAGAGGTGCAGTGCTGGATCACGGGCATTTACCAACACACACGCACCATAGCCACCACAGCCCATCTGTCACAGCGCTGGATCATGAGAGTGCACCAAGGGTCTCCGCCGTGTTTGACCCATGGTCGTTGTTCTCGGTCTCGCGCAGGCACGAGGTTCGCTTCCGCCAGCGGTTGCTGGAGCTCACGGACGCCAACAACATCTCGTACCTCTTCCTGTCAGCTGCCAACCGCTGGCTGGAGGTGCGCCTGGTAAGTTGGCTGCAGCGGTCACTGGCCAACTATGGCATTTGGCGAGCGACGTGAGGCGTGTGCGGTGAGAGTGGTGAGTGTGCACTGGATGAGCAGGTGTAAGGGTTTTAGGGGCTGGTGACCGAATCTGGTAAACACAGGGGAATGCAGTGTCTGGTTATTGAGGTAAATTATCTGATGGGTGTATTTACTGCCAGCCAGGTACACATAAATCATAAATACGTAATCAATTTTATTTTAACGATTTGGTCTGTTATTTTTATGATTTTTATTATCTTGATAAGCATAATGATTCTCACAATGTTTTGTTGAAGGCTTTGCATTGGGATGTTTGGCCACTTACATTTTCCATTTGGGTAAATTTTTGGAATATGTGGAGAAAAGCCACATATATGCAGGGGAAAAAGAACCCCTATTAATGAAATGTATATATCGGTCACAAGCTCATTTGCTGTAATGCTATCTACTGGCCATCTCATAGTCTGCCAGGCTGGGAGTTTCGTGTCTTTGATTAGTCAGCGTCATCTGTGAATCCCGTCCCAAGCACTGGATTACAGCTATTCACCACCATGCTCATCTTTCAGGTTACAACCGGTAATGAGTAACGACCACTCATCCTGTCACCCCTCATCCTGGACAGCCCAGCCTAGAGGACTCACTTAAACTGGGCATGAGATCTAGCTGGCAAGTTAAAGTGATGTGAAAGCTAATATAAATTAATTGAATTCTTAAAGAATATTGGTACAACAAAATTAGCATCGTTCTCATCATCAGTCATGGTCATTCCACTGCTGGATGAAACCCCCTCCCCAAGCTATTTCCACCTCTCACGAATATGTGATGTAATAATCTACCTGGCACCTACCCATGAACTGATTTCATTGCTGCATCTCCCTACTGGACGTTCTATCGGACTAATTCCATTCATTAGCCGCCTCTCCGTTATTATACTTAACCATCGCCCATCATTCCTTCTTGAGATGTGCCCTACCCAGCTCCGCTTAAGCGTGTTACTTACGTCATCAACCTGGGTTGTGTTCTTTAATCTTTTAAGTTACCTTCTTAAAGGTTAATCAAAATGTTTGAGTTTTTCACGACTTGGGCATAACTCCAAGCAATGCAGTGAAAACCACGCAGTCGTGGCTATTCCTGGGCTCTCTATGGCCCCAGTACGGCCCTCAAGCCCATACATACCGTGTGCTGCCTTCATAATGATGGCCAAATTATGTTATGTATCGATGGTGGCATATTAATACACACAATGGCATGGTGCCTCACACCTGTAACACTTGCAATGTGGAGTCAAAGTTGATGGATCATGCAGTTTTCATACTCTTTGGTTCTTTCGGTAAAGTCACGTAAAGGCAGCAGACATCGTGCTGCTCGCAGGAGACATCGCAGCTGTCGCGATTTTCACCTGAAGATGGGCGCTTGTGTTGCGTTCGAAACGTCTAGATTTATTTTATTTTATTTATACCTACGTGACTTTACCGAAAGAACCAAAGAGTATGGATTCCTGCAGTCACGAAAGCTTAAAATCAAGATCATGCAGTTTTCATTATGTCCAATATGATTCCCACCTTACTCAGCTAGGACGTGGCTAACAGGTGGCAGCACGTCAAGTGTTCTGCTGACCTATCTCCATGCAGTGTCATTCCCTCGTGGATGTGTTTTTTTTTCTGGTGCAGAACACTCACTTGAGAATTGTTCAAACATCCCAACTTGGGCCCATCCTGAAATCTGAACATCTTGCCACGGTGGTGAGATGTTAACTACCTCGCCTGGTATACAGGAGTTCATTGGTTCGATCCTGACCCTGCCGCTTGTATATTTGGAGTTTGCATGTTCTCCCCGTGGTCGTGTAGATTTTTCTCCAGATCTTCCGGTTTTCCCCTCGATATTTAGAAACATGCACTTTTTGTATTTGGCTGCTATAAATTTCCACATGATAAGCTACTTCATCAGGTCGTTTCTAAAAAAGAGCTATACAGCTCAGTGGGGCCTTACCTGCTAAAATCAAAAATAGTTTAAAGTTTTAGTTCAAATATTATTGAAACTCTGTGAGGCGTTTGTGGCCAAGTGAAGGATGGCGGTGATTGCACGGCGGGAGTTTAGCGGCCGTGCCATCTCTCTCTCTCTCTGCGTGGTGCAAGGATTACATCGGGGCGTGCATTGTGCTGATCGCGTCCGTGGCCTCCATCACCGACTCGTGGAACAACACGCTGTCGTCGGCACGCGTGGGCCTGTGCCTCACCTATGCGCTCATGGTGAGGCCCACTACCGCTACCTTCACCTGGGAACGGCACGGAGTGCAATTCTGCTCCAACATTCTTCTCCCGGGAGGGGGGGATGGGGGGGGCTGTGAGAATCATAATCTTTTATTTATCCTAGGGAAATCCGTTGAGCTACGAAGCTCTTTAAACTCAGATGTCCAGTAAGGGGGGCAAGTCAAAAAGTTACAGCAATAAAAACAAAAAAACTATAGGAGTGCAAAGTTTTACCATTAAAGCCCACTCGTCTATTAGTTATTTTTCAGAAGCGATCTGGCCACAAGTGATAGAATGTGGTCAAGAGGTGCATTTCTTTAGCAGGCGAGCTTTGTTATTTTCTATGGCAGCGGTCCCCAACCTTTTTAGCACCAGGGACCGGTTTCATGGAAGATAATTTTTTCACGGACCATCCATCAAGCATAAATAACTTCCAAACATGCAATCATAAACAGAGAATGTCTTACTATGTGGTATATGATATCCTGTTGGTCCACGGGGTTGCTGGGATTAATGGTAATTAAGGTGTTTGGGTTAGTCCACGTAAGTATAAATGTGTCGACACATGAATAATATTGGTCGTGAAAGCCTACGTGTTAAACTGGGATTCATGGTATCGGCCTAATACAAGGTGGCTTTTCCATCATTGAATCGTGACGATCTGTGCAGCTAATGCCGAAGACTGAGATATGTTAACATCAGCGACTGGACACAAGTGTAACCTGTCTGTTCGCCCTGACCTCCACACGCTGGGCTGTGATGCAGGTGTCAAACTACCTGAACTGGGTCGTGCGAAACCTGGCGGACATAGAGGTGCAGATGGGAGCCATCAAGCGAGTGAACAACCTCCTGCAGATCGAGACCGAATCCTACGACGGGCTGCTTTGTGAGTGACCCTTGGGGCCTTCTCCGGCATTTTCTCGCCAAGAACTGTCGCACGGTGGTTAGTCCATAGGATTTGCAGGCCTGCAAACTCAATATTGGATGGGGCTTTGGCACAGCGGGTCGGCGCATCGTGCTACGAACCCGTGTAGCGAACCGAGTTCAATTCCCAGCCGTGGCTAATGTCAAGTTGTATGCAAGCCAGGCCTGGCCACACCCTTAATCAACCTGCACGGACCATTGTGGTGAAGTATGGTAAGAATAATTCCCAACGCCGACACAGCAGTGGATTGATAAAATGGCTTTAAAAATGTAATTAAAAAGCTCAAAAAGTGCGGTAGACAGGCTTAGTTATGTTTGCCATAACAGGCTGTGCAGTAGCACACGAGCCCTTGATGTCTGCAGCTTGCCGTCACGGCAAGCAGGCTGTTTATTATTCTTTGCTGATTGGGTCACGCGCACGATTGCCGTTTTGAACGGAGACTGCCAGGAAAGTCTTGTGACTGTGGTGACAGCACAAAGCTCGCGGTGACGAGATGTTAACTACCTCGCCTGGTATACAGGAGGGCCTGCGTTATATCCCGACTCAGTCGTCTGTATATTCGGAGTTTGTATGTCTCTCCCCGTGGTCGTGTGGATTTGTATCTGGGTCCTCCAGTTTTTCCCTCCACATTTAGAATCACTTGTGGCCAGGTCACTTCTGAAAAAGTGCCATATAGCTCAGTGGTAAAATAAAAAAAATTGTTGAATATTGTACGGTTTAAATACAATCGGGTTTGATTTAAAATCCCAGTTAAGGATCCACTCAGCTCATCAACCTTTATGGTCGATAAAATGAATACTACTTTGTGGGGAAGTCAACACTGACCATCTTATGAACAGACTGCCCCCCACCATGGGAATATGGAATTTGCAGAGTGGTTCAGCGCTGCTAAGGAATCCTTGACCATTGCTTATTTGAGAAGGGTGGCACATAGTCTTTAGATTTTTATGACTCAAGCTTTTAGGTCCTATCAGTCAATGTTACAATGTATGATGATAGGAAAGGCAGATTCAATTATTGAATATTAACAAGTATAATTATCCAAATCAAAAACTCTTCACGTGCCGTTGTGTAAAGTAAAAGTCTGACTTTTTATACCAAATAATATTTTGCTCAAAATGACTGCAACCACGCAACATTTAATGAATAGACCACACCGCTGATGGAACTGGAGTTCGTCTGCTTAAACTGTTGGTTCAGAAGATACATAAGTAAAGAACAATTTTTTTTAAACTAATGTAATTGTGTGTGGAGAAAAAGATGTTTGTCTCTGAAAGATTTATTTTAATATCAAATCAATATAAAGAGTTTTGTAAGGTTTAAAAAAAGAAACTTTCAATGTGCACAGCACATTTTTCTTGCATGACGGTTGTACACATTTCCCCAAAGCACACTTGTGATTGCACCATAATATGTATGTCACCTGTTTATCCTACACAAAGCTGAAGGTGAATCTGTGCCAATTGGCCGTCCCTTAACGGATTGCCCTTGCACCTCGTCATGTGATGAACAAAATAGATCAAGCGGGCAATACGCCTCCCTCATATACCTCTGTCTCCACGTGAGAAATAAACAATTTATTTACGCAACCCATGGGCCCCACGGCCTTCTGGAAGTGAAGAATGTGATCGATCATCACCGTGGCTGACGTCGCCGACGTTATGGCAACGTCCCCACACGCCGCGGGTGAGGCGCGATAGCTCGGTTCTGCCGTGGTGCGTGTGCACGCGAGCGACGACGAGGGTGCGTGTGCACGCGAGCGACGACGAGGGTATGTGCATGCCGTGTCGCGTGCAGCCCAAGCACAGGTGCCGGACAACTGGCCGCAGTCGGGCGAGATCAAGATCGAGGAGCTGTCCGTGCGCTACGACAGCACGCTGAAGCCCGTGCTCAAGCACGTCAACGCCCACATCCAGCCCAGCCAAAAGGTGGAGCACGAATGTACACACGCACGGGCCAGCAGGGCCCGGATTTATTATTTGTTCGTTTATTATTTTCAATCAATCAAGCAATCAATTATCTTCTTTTGAAGGGCCAATATCACCCTCGATGAAGTAGGCATCGTTGCACATTGCAGCAGAACGGGAACGGTACAGGGGGCGTAGAGCAGCAACAGGAATCCGATGAGCTATGAAGCTCTTTTTTACACATGTCCAGGAGGACAAATAATTCCTGCTGTGTCTTGCCGATTCGTTCCCTGGCTGTGATGCCTGACTGATAAAAAATATTTTTTTCTTTCAATCAGTGAGTGAGTGAGTGACTGTGGTATACATCAGAGTGCACCTGGCCTGACACTGGCGCTGTGGTTACGTCATCGTCACTTAGTGACGAATGGCGGGTATTGGTATTGGTGTATTATTATGATGTTCTAGAAGAGCCTGTGAGGTGAAATCGACATACATCTCGTCGAGTCTTTGCTTAGAACTATAATAATACAAAACCAAATTAAATTAGTTTGGGCCTGCTCAAACCAGGAATTTCTTTTTACCTTTTTACTTTTGAATGTAGGCCAACAAATGTTTGCATCTGGGGGTTTCCAACGATGCTGAGTCCAAACATGGCATCTTATTTTCGGTACCCGAAATGCGGTGCTACTTTTTTTGTCAGCGTGTTAGTCTCAAGTGGGAAGAACCCACCTAGTTTACGTGTATTGCATGATGTATACAGTAACCGATGAACCCTGATGCTGCAACCGTGAACGTTTGCCCAGGTGGGAATCTGTGGACGCACGGGGAGTGGGAAGTCTTCGCTCTCGCTGGCCTTCTTCCGGATGGTGGACACTTTTGAAGGTGACAATTTAGTGATCACATTCACTCTGCCGTTTGCTACGAGTGCTGCACAAATGCTTCGTTATAACCTGACATTTGGTACAAACATAGTGGAGTTGGGGTTTATAAGTTCTGGCAAAGAGTTTAATTGGGAATGAACAATTCTGTAATATGTAAGTTCTCTTGCATTACTGTTGTAAAGAAGTACATCGTTGCATTTGGTCCAGAATACAGTACTGTAATGGCGCCGTTGTATGTATAGTGAACTTCGTTCGCACCGTGTTTATCATGTACCATTCACCACAATACACGATGAGGTAAAGTGTATGCATTTGCATGTCCATCTCTGTGCTGCGCATATGTACGTTGGTGTAAATTCACAGGTTAGCAAGTGTTCCTTGCAGTTTTGTGAAATACGCCACTGATGTCTCTAATAACAATAGTGGACAGACCGATTAAGGCAATGTGTTGTGACAATTTCACCAAGGCTTGATTGAGTCTGACCCTTTGTCTGCCACCCCCGGTCCAGACACGAGAGACATAATCGGTTGCTCTGATTCAACTCAAGAATCGCTTCTCTCTGTGCCATGCTACCCTCTCATTTTTAGTGTTTTGTTGTTTTTTCCCATCTCATTTGTACCGTTGCATTCCGCTCCATTAGCCCGACCATTACGTTTGCTTCGCGAGTCGCGGGATCGACCTATTCCCGCGCGCGACGGTTCGTGAGCGCGACTGAAATGGATACTTTTTAGGCTCGGTGAATGTGGGGCGCCATCGCACACCCGTAACAATGCCACCGCCTCCCCATGCGTGCCGTGCGCAGGGAGGATCATCATTGACAACATCGACATCGCCAAGATCCCCCTGCACACGCTGCGCTCGCGTCTGTCCATCATCCTGCAGGACCCCATCCTCTTTAGTGGATCAATCAGGTTACCCCTCCTCCTCCCTCCTCGTGCACCGCGCGTCACCTCCACCCCTCTCCCACGCCTAAAAATTATTGTATATCTCTTTATTTATAGAATCATAGGCAGAGAGTTTGACTTCTGTATTCGGGGGGGGGGAGCAGGAGTTTGCTTTGTCCCTCAGATTAGGAATTGCGGGTGCATGTAATTAATACATTTATTTTTAATCTTAATTGTAAACTACTGAAATTGAATTAATAAAGGTGTCCAGTTTGGAAGTGAAGCTCTGCCCATGTAGAGAATCTATTGAAATTGAGTGAAATAATTTGTTTTACACTGTTCTGACAGCTACATGTTGTTGTGACATATACACCGTTTAATTACATACCTATTCAGGTTACCAAACCGGTAATATGGTCTGCACATTTTCAGATTAACAATCCATTATAATGTATATGGTTACAATAACCTCCTCTGATTTTCACACCTGATGGGCATACAATGATGACATCATCTTACTCTATTTAAAACCAAAAGAGAAAGACTTCTTCACAATCCTGGCAAATTGGCTGATGAAGCTAGTTGTAATCACCAGAGAAACTTAAGTGCTTAAATTGTAAATGTTGTGGGTTTACTCTCCAACACACAAGCGGTGTGCTGACGTAGTAACTGATTGGCACGTTTTGTTTACGTGACAAACCTCACTGATTGGCTGTGTTGGGTGGTGGTGCTGGGTTCATGACACATTTATATTTATGGAATCTAACCCAAACACATTCTTACGAGTCACAGTAATTTGTTAACTTTAATGAAGTTAGGTGTTAGCGTTAGGTTTATCAGGTATTTTTTGGGGGGATATTTTTAAGGGTTAAGCGATTTTTATTATGACAGCATTTATTCAGCAAGTCATATTTTGTTAACACGCGTAACTGACCAGCAATTATGAAAATGTGCGTGCAGTAATTTAAAATTAAGTTTCCATACCAATGTGGAATTTACACAGCTTCCTCAGGGATGTAAACAGAATAGCACCCTGTGCTCATTTGTACAGGAAACCACTTTGACTTTTTAAATCTAGTTTGTCCTGATGTTTCAGAAAGTTAACAAAACAAAACTACAACTCAACTATTTTTTATTTTACTAGGCAAGTCCGACTGAGCTGTATAGCTCTTTTTCAGAAGTGACCTGGCCACAAATGATTGCTCAACAAAGTGGCATATCACGTGGAAATTTATAACAGCCAATTACTCTAAACGCACATGATTTATAAATATGGAGGGAAAAACTGGAGGACCCACAGAAATATCCATGCCACCATGGGAAGAGAGACTTTGCATAGAGAGACATTGCAAACTCATATATATATCGGTGGCACCGTCAGCAACACATTTTGATAATGAACGCTCGTCACGATGTGACGTGAAGGTTTGTGCCGTGGCTGCTGCTGTGCCACGCTGCTGCTGTGTCACGCTGCTGCTGTGCCACGCTGCTGCTGTGCCACGCTGCTGCTGTGCCACGCTGCTGCTGTGCCACGCTGCTGCTATGTGACAGGTTCAACCTGGACCCGGAGGCGGCGTGTGGCGACGGGGTCCTCTGGGAGGCCCTTGACATCGCTCAGTTGAAGCACGTGGTCAAGGCGCTGCCGGGGGGCCTCGGTGCGTCAACCCCTCCCCCAAATCTCAGTCACGACTTTCCACACTTACCTCTCTCTCCCATCTTAAATGCATTGCATCGGTTTTTTTGTCTGACTCAGGTGCCATAGGGAGGTTAACTAATGTCTGGGTGTGGTCAAGGGATAGCTCCTTACCGGTCATCGATGTCTCGTGATTGCTTGTGCTAGCCGTCTTGCAGATAACAGAAAGTTATGTAATGAGTGGTGTAGAACAGGGCTTAAATTCAGCCACTACGATGGTGCGGTGATTGCACTAAGAGTTCGCCACCCTGAGTTAAGTTCCCGTCCGCGGCCAACGCGGACGGGTCACCTCTTCACCAATCGGTAGTGACCAGAGTGCTGATGTCTGGTAGAACAAAAGGGTGATTGTTTTCGTGCAGTGGAACATGTTGATACACAGGAGAATGAGGCACGCTACACAGCATTAAAACAAAGGTTGTACAGTATTCCCTCGTTATCCGTGAAAGATACGTTCCGCAGATGATCATGAACAGCAAATTTCGCGGACAATGATATTGGCCTATGGAAACCTATCTTCTAAATGGGTTACCTTAAATAAATACGTAAATAAGCGATTCAATACATTAACATTTCATAATAACAAAAAATGGCTATAATAATCATAAAGTAAATGAATATTAACGTATTAAATAATAGTTTTTAACTTAACTTACCTTAAATGATGATGCGGTGCATCATTACACTATCTCATGACGTTATCTCATCACTTTCTCTCAATCTCTCTCTCGATGCAGTCGTATGGCGTTCCAGACGCGATTCGTGGATAACGAGGGAATACTGTAATGTAGTCCTTGTTGGGCTGATGGCAGTTGCTCTTAAGCGTCGCCTTGGAGATGCCTAATAATTCGACTCCTGATGTCGGATCGTGCTGCCACCATTCCACAGACGCCATGGTGACGGAAAACGGCGAGAACTTCAGCGTGGGGCAGAGGCAGCTTTTCTGCCTGGCCAGAGCCTTCGTGCGCAAAACCAGCATCTTCATCATGGACGAGGCGACGGCCTCCATCGACATGGCCACGGTGAGCACCGAGTTGCCCAACAGCAGCGACTCCCCTCCAGGCACACCTGTACACACGCACACACCTCTACACCTGCACACACCTCTACACCTCCACACACCTCTACACCTGCACACACCTCTACACCTCCACACACCTCTACACCTCCACACACCTCTACACCTGCACACACCTCTACACCTCCACACACCTCTACACCTGCACACACCTCTACACCTCCACACACCTCTACACCTCTACACCTCCACACACCTCTACACCTCTACACCTCCACACACCTCTACACCTCCACACACCTCTACACCTCCACACACCTCTACACCTCCACACACCTCTACACCTCCACACACCTCTACACCTCCACACACCTCTACACCTCCACACACCTCTACACCTCCACACACCTCTACACCTGCACACACCTCTACACCTCTACACCTCCACACACCTCTACACCTCTACACACCTCTACACCTCCACACACCTCTACACCTGCACACACCTCTACACCTCTACACCTCCACACACCTCTACACCTGCACACACCTCTACACCTCCACACACCGCTACACCTGCACACACCTCTACACCTCTACACCTCCACACACCTCTACACCTCCACACACCTCTACACCTCCACACACCTCTACACCTCCACACACCTCTACACCTCCACACACCTCTAGACCTCCACACACCTCTACACCTCCACACACCTCTAGACCTCCACACACCTCTAGACCTCCACACACCTCCACACACGTCTACACCTCCACACACCTCTACTCCTGCACACACCTCTACACCTGCACACACCTCTACACCTCCACACACCTCTACACATCCACACACCTCTACACCTCCACACACCTCTACACCTCCACACACCTCTACACATCCACACACCTCTACACATCCACACACCTCTACACCTCCACACACCTCTACACCTCCACATACCTCTACACCTCCACACACCTCTACACATCCACACACCTCTACACCTGCACACACCTCTACACCTGCACACACCTCTACACATCCACACACCTCTACACCTCCACACACCTCTACACATCCACACACCTCTACACCTCCACACACCTCTACACCTCCACACACCTCTAAACCTCCACACACCTCTACACCTGCACACACCTCTACACCTGCACACACCTCTACACCTCCACACACCTCTACACCTCCACACACCTCTACACCTCCACACACCTCTACACCACATACCTCTACACCTCCACACACCTCTACACCTTCACACACCTCTCCACATCCACACACCTCTACACCTCCACACACCTCTCCACATCCACACACCTCTACACCTGCACACACCTCTACACCTCCACACACCTCTACACCTCCACACACCTCTACACATCCACACACCTCTACACCACATACCTCTACACCTCCACACACCTCTCCACATCCACATACCTCTACACATCCACCTTAACAGATTGTTGGGGCAAGTACTGTTAGCGTGCACCTATGAAGGTCGACATTTTGCACCCAAGGGGCTGGGTGGCCAACACCACGCCCAGCCGCCTTTGTTTCCCTAGTGGTATTGTTCACACACCTCACCAGGTACTCATTGGGGGCTTAATTGACTTAGGGGAGGCCCAGGACTGGTTCAGATAATCGTCACTGGTGTTGGCGATGAGCGGGAATCGAACCCGGGTTCGTAACCCAGTGCGCTCACAATTACACGACTGCTTCCCACCACACAACAACAACAACAACCGCTTCCCATTGTATCTGTACCAGATGGAAATTCCTCCGGAACAGCTATTGAAGGTATTCACGAACTACGTAGTCTAAATAGATGTTAAATAATGTGGGAGCCAGAGGGCATCCCTGTCGCACCCCAAGGTGTACAGGGAATGGCTCCGACTCCTGGCCACGTAGTTTTACCCGGGCCCGCTCACCAACATGAAGGCCCTTAATGATCGTGAGCAGAGGGTCAGGGACTCCGAAAGCACGAAGAACTACCCAGAGCCCAGGCCTACTGATGGTATCATAGGCCTTAACCAGGTCAATAAAGCAGAGATGTAGGTCTTGTTGGAATTCCATACATCTTTGCTGTAGCAGATGGACAGAAAATATGGCATCTGTGCAGGACCGCCCTTTCCTAAAACTGCATTAGGGTTCCGCAAGCCTCTCCTCAGCATGCCTAGCAAGGCAATGTTGAATAATCCTTGCCAGGACCTTTCCCGGCACACTGAGGACTGAGATGCCCCTGTAGTTGTTACAGTCTGTGCGGCCCCCCTTCTAAAGAGAGGGACCACCAGGGCATCCTTCCAATCCTGTGGAACCCGTCCAGTGGTCCAGACTGTTGTTATGATGTCATGATGTAGAGCAGTCTGTGCACAAATGCCACCCTTCCTCAGCATTTCGTTTGGGAGATCATCTCTGCCCGGTGCCTTTCCTGGTCTCAGACTCTGGATCGCCTTCAGTACTTCCTCAACAGATGGCACCTCAGCCAGCCACTCACAGGGGGTGACTTCTTCTTCCAATATTTGAGGCACCGCAGCCTCGGCAGGGTCATCCCCACTTTGTCCCACGTTGTTTTCCAGGCTGAGTAATTTCCCCTCCCCCAGGACCTCACAGAAATGCTCAGCAAATCTGCAAACCTTTTCCTGGGGGTCGGAGATTGGATCACCGTTCTTTTCCCTAATGATGGTAATAGGTGTGGTGCTGCAGCTTATTTTTTTATGGAATTAAAGAGAGATTTATGATCGTAGGCCATTGAGGCAGACTCCATCTCCTCAGCAACCCGCGACCACCACCCATCCTTGCAGCGCCTCACAGCTCTCCGAACCTCCGAGCGAAGGCTGCGGTAAGCCTCTTCATTCTCTGACGTGGGATGCTGTAGTCAATGAGAGTGGGCCTGTCGCTCTTTCTCAGCCAGCTTAAACACCTCCTCTGTCAGCCAGGGTCTCTGGGGAGGTTTGGACCGTGTACCCAAAGCAGCCATTGCAGCTGAATGAGCCGCAGTCCTGAACCTCGCCCATTTCCCCCCAACATCAGGAGGAGTGGGGGACGATGCCAACCCCACCCGCAAGCGATGATGAAATTCTCGCTTACAACTTTAATCAGCTAGCTGAGACCATGCCACTATGGGTTTGAATGGGGTCCTAGGTGTACACCCACCACTGGAGTAGAAGAATGGCAGGCGTATCTTACAGATGACAAGTCGATGGTCAGTGAGCAGATCAGCTCCAAGGTGGGTCCTGGTGTCAAGGACATGGGCCCGCATCCACTGTTCCATCACTATGTAGTCCAGCAGATGTTCTTGCTTGGACCCAGCATGCATCCATGATGTTGTGTGGATGTGCTGATGCCGGAACGGCGTGTTGGTAATTACAAGCCCATGGGTTGTACAAAAATCTAGCAGCCTCCTGCCATTGTTATTGAGCTGATCTGGCTAATGCCTTACAATCACTCCAGACCAGGTGCCAGTATCATGACCAACTGGGGCATTGAAGTCACCCAACAAGATGACTCTATCCCGAGGGGCCACTTTAGCTAGCACCTGTGACAGGAGGTCATAGAAGGCATCTGACTCATCGGCCTTGCCTGCATCCCTCCATGGATGTTCATCCTCGGTGGGGGCATAAGTAACCATGACCACCACTCCTCGCCTCTGGTTGATGGGAAGGCGAGCCCAAAGTAGCCTGGGGCTTACAGCTTTCCACACCTCAACGCCATGCTTCCACACCCCCTTCATTCTTTTGTTCAGAAGAAGAGCCACTCCCTGTTGTTTGGCAGTCTCCTGCCCCGAGAAGAGGACTATCGACCCCTCATGGTGGCGGGAGCCAGAGCCGGTCCACCAGACCTCCTGAATACCACAGAGATCCAGGCGGTACCGGTCCAGCTCCTGACAGAGGAGTGGCAGCCTCTCCTCCGCAGTGAGCTTTCGAACATTACACGTGGCCACAAGTAGTGGTTTTTTGTTGTTTCTGGAAGAGCCCCGAGGGTAAGGATTCAGTCTCCTTGCTCCGCCAAATGGGGTTTGGCCAGGAGATGTCATAGACGCCTCTGGCACAAGCTTATTAATACAGATTTTCAGTCATGGTTTAGTGGTAATTAATTGAAGATGGAAGGGTTATCAGCCCCTCGCACCTATTACACCCCCACACACATACCTGCACACATTCACCTCCACACCCTCAAACACTCACGCCTTTGCACCTAGACACACACCCTCACATTCACACTTTCAGTTTCACACATATCCGTACCAACGCCCCGCGCCACATACAATTTAAACGAGGATTTCTGATGGAGAAGGTTTATTCGTCACAGCTAATGGTGCCACTCTGTTCCATGTGTCCTTCATCACGGCACAGCAGAACGATCCTGCTGAAAACCGACCACCACCAACGATGGCTAATACCCTGCAGACCACTGGAGTCATCAGTGTCACCACTCAGAAGGGCCTTCGTCAGGGCCGGCACTGACAACAACGTCTGTAAAATGTCGAAGGGCACTTGGGCGCGAAATAAAACATTGTCGATGTTTAATTCGCCTTCGATCGGAAGTGGGCAGCTTAACAGGCAACATGCGGAAAGTGGGGCTCCTCGAGCAACACTGGCACACGTGACTGAGACACGGACTACGCAGCATCACTCGGTCTGTCAGCCCTTGGAGGAGCTGTGTACCAAGAGGAACCTTGCCAGGGCTACAGACCGGGCCACATCATCACCATCATCATATACCAGGGTCTATCCACTGCTGGCCACATCACGTGCTCGATACTGGATAAACTTGCGACTGCGGTGGTAGAACACGAGCAGAAGAGGTAGAATGATTTTAGAGGGACTGTGTGTATTTTTACTTTGCTTCTTTTGTTCTTATTCAGGAGAGCATTCTCCAGAAGGTGGTGATGACAGCGTTTGCCAACAGGACAGTAGTCATCATCGCTGTGAGTATTACTGAGCACAAATTGATTTCTCCCAGCCACAACTACATGACGGCTTGAGTAATAACATCAGAAGTGGTTTGTAAGGAGATGAAAACATTGGTGTTGGTATGAAACAGTGATCTATTTCAGAGAAGCGTGTGGCAATATTTGAATATCTTCTCCTGTAATCTTATTTGGGTATTTCGGTAAAGTCACATAGATAGGTTCAAAGAAAATAACAAAAAACTACGACGTCTCGATCTCACACCAACACAGCCACCTCAGCGCGCTCGCCGTGGAGGCCGCTCACCGATCTCACATTAACATGCTAATTTTTACCTGGCAGCCCTTTAATTGGTGGAACCCACCGCCAATCGCGGTCCGTGCCCATCACTTACATTAACAATAGCTGCCTCACCCATGCTGCTGACATTTGGGCTATGCCCATTTTAAACCTTTATAAACAGTTTGCCTTTAGAAGCTAACCCCCTTTTCCTGATGACGACCGCTTGTGTTGCGATCGAAACGTCGTCGTTTTTGTTATTTTCTTTGAACCTATCTACGTGACTTTACCAAATGACCAAAATAATATGAATTCCTGCAGTCACGAAAGCTTTAAGTCAAGATCTTCTCCTGTGCTCCTGCATAAAAACGTTAATGATGTATTCATTATAAAATTATGTTGATCGCAAAGGATAGTCATGTATAGAGGTGCATGTGGGGAGCGGTAGTGCAGCGGTTAGCACGCTGCGCAATGAACCCGACAAATCGAATTTGATTCCCGCTCACGGCCAATATCAGTGATGTTTATCTGAACCCGTCCTGGGCCTCCCCCAGGTCGACTCAGCAAATGAGTACCTCGTGTGGTATGTAAACATCACCACTGTGGAGACAAAGGTGGCCGGGCGTGGTGTTGGCCACCCATCCCTTTGTGTGCCATGCCGACCTTCATAGGTGCTCGCTGACAGTACTTGCCCCAACAGTCTGTTAATGCTAATCAGGCTATATTTGTCTTTATGCTCTTAATGAATGCGCATGCTTGTGCGCATGCGCATATCTACACTCACATGGAAGAGTGATGATGCTCATGTCTGGCCACGTGTGTGTGCCACGTGCGAACGTTTACTCCTATGTCAATGTACTCTACATGCAAATGCAAGCATTGAATGTATATTGACATGCGAGTATCAGTGTACATGTACCAGCATAAGTGTGCTTCCATGTGCGTGTGTCTTTTTGTGCAGCGTGGCATAGTAGTTAGCGCACTTCACTGTGAAATTTGCAATCTCAGTTCGATTCCCGCTTAGTACTGGTGGAGAGACAAAGCAGCCAGGCGTGGTGTTGGCCATGAAGGGAGGCTTCATGTGCCGTGTCAGGCTTCATAGTTGCTCACAAATAGCACTTGCCCCAACAATCTGTGAATGGCTATGGGGGAAATCTTTGTCTTTGTAGTAATTAGAGCCCTGTGCTATGAACCCCATGACATGGGTTAAATTCCAAGCCATGTCTAACGTCGGTGTTGAGTGACATCTGAACCGGTCTAGGGCCTCCCTACATCAACTCAGCCTTAAATATGTGCCTGGTGCGGGATGTAAATATCAACTACGCTGCTGGCCACATCACACCCTCGGACGCCACGATGGCCTTCGTTGGCGTTCGCGAACAGCACTTTGCGCCAACAATCTTGTGTGGGCTAACGGGGAATTGTTGTCTCTTGTGTGCGTCTATGCGTGCAGCACCGCGTGCACACCATCCTGACGGCGGACCTGGTGATGGTGCTGAAGCGCGGCAGCGTGCTGGAGTACGACACGCCCAGCACGCTGCTCGCGCACGACAGCATGTTCGCTTCCTTTGTGCGGGCCGACAAATGATGCTCCCTTCGCCCCCTCTTTCCGTGCACACCCAAGGTCTCGCAGCCTATACACCTGGGCACGACGGTGACTGAAACCATTCCGATTAGCAGAGGCCATTCGCGTTTGTGCGGTTCTGCCGACCAGCAAAATCCCTGCCGAACACGTTTACCCATAATGCTCTGAGCAGTGGGACAACCTGAATAATACAGAGAGGTTGGACGGTGCTCATCGGCGCTGACAGCCAGAGGTAGGACTTGGAGATGACCTTTAACCTCTTCGTCCACCATCTCCACCTACCCAGACTGATTTTGTTCTCAGTATACAATGGTATTGCAATGCAATTTAGCTTTATACAAAATTCGAAATACAACGGCATCTCAAGATGCTTTGAAAAGTGAATGGACATTCACTTCCCATCAGACGACTGATGGCGCAGTGTTCATGAGGACGTTCGAGTGCTTCAGGGTGAATTAGCCAAAAAAAAAAGCCATGGGCCTCGCACGTATGACGATGTCACGGTGCTTTGGAATCTTCTGGGTATGCAGAGTGGTCGTTGGAAAGACTAAAGTGATGGGTGGATATGCCATAAATTTCATTTCGTTATTATCAGCTGGTGATGGGGAGAGGCAGAGAAGAAAGAAAGGGGAGCTTGCCATGGGATCGTCGTGTTGTATCGAGTTATCTTTTTAGATGCAAAAAGTAAGTACCATTATTTATAACATTAATATATTAAGTGCTTTTACATGATGAAGATGATGATGATAATGCCGAATCATAACGGCTGATGATAACACAGCTCTGCATCAGCTGAGGACGCTCATGCAGAGTTGGACTTTGCTGGGTCGTGGTAAGACAATCGTGGTGGACATTGATGCAAATCACATTCGTTCAACTTGATTTGTTCGTGCAACGCTGAATACAAATTGACATTTTGTGAATTGCATTTCCTCTGCCGATTCCCGAATCAAACGTTGTATCGGCGCCGAGCTGAGTGAAGTTTTTCACTTTTCCCACCACGGCTGGCACCATCGGTTCGCGTCAGTGCGAACTGCAGTGGCTGGCAACGTCCTGGTTGTCGTGGATCCGTGTTTGGTAATTCTGTTGACAAGAGAACATCATGTGGACGCTACACCAAAACGTAAGGGTTCATGCGACAGAAAATGACCAGGGGATTGCCATAACGCATTTCCACAAAGTGCTGTATATATTGTTCTCCCAGTTGCTCAGTTTTGGGCGTTGTACACGGTAGTTTCAAATGTTTTGTTGTTTTAAGTCAGACCAATGTTTGTCCGCGTGTATTTAATTATCAAGTGTGTTTGTGTGGCAGTGTTACAATCCATGCCGTTGAACTGGAAGCACGTTGCTTTTATGTACACGCCATTGTTCAGTGTCCGGGAACATTGGTGTAGTAATTAGCAGTGAAAGCACACTTCACTTTGGCTCATTAAATAGCCGAGAAAACTTAATTGAGAAAAATCATCACCTCTTCATGGGGACATTAATCATCAGCCTTGATTGAATACATTACTTTTTTTTCTTCAGACATTTTAATTGGATTATTGAAGTCACAGTTAACATATAAAATGAGTTGTGCAGGAAACACATGGGGTCTGATTAATACAAAAGACAAAACGTGTTTGCGTATTATCGTCCATTTCAGCAGAACACTTGCGGAATGGCCTTCGTGCCAACACATGAGCCTGAACAGGATACAAAACACAATCTTAACCAAATGTTGACATACATGAGTACAGAGGACTTAATTTAATGCAAATGTTTGCCAAAGTCAATCAGGTTAATACTCGTGTAAACTCTGAGATCAAGTTGTTTTCTGCCCGTGAAGTTATTAATCACCTCTGTGCATTATGAAGTAGTACTGTATACATTTTAATTAAATTCATAATTTACCGGACACGGTCGATATCAACGTTTCAACAGCTGCACACACCTGCCCGCTACTTTGTATGGGAGAGCGACAAGACTCTTGCTGCGGCATGTCGCGCACACACATGGGCCACGGAGCGAATGAATCGGGAGCTGGCGCTTTGTACCGTGCGTGCAACGACGTGACTTCTCTGTGTGTGCGCCGAGGTAATGTGTTGAGCCTTGGGATTAAATCGACAGTATTTGCTCGGCTGGACGACTCGCAGCTTCTATGTCTGTGTTTGAGCGTCGAGTCATCGATTCATTTGAAGGTTCTTGGTTCAAATCCCCAAGTGGTCGCGTGACATTTCTCTCATGAATAATGTTCGGGTGAGAATTGACGCGGGTTGCGGGTGGGGAGCAGTGGCCGAGCGGTTAGCGCTACGCTGCGCTTCGAACCTGGCGACCCAATTTCGAATCCCGCTCACGGCCTCCCCTAGGTCGACTCAGCCTCAAATAAGTGCCTGGTGCTGTGTGTAAACATCGCCAATGGGGAGACAAAGGCGGGCGGGCGTGGTGTTGGCCACCCACCCCATCGTGTGCTGTTACGTAGATAGGGAAATAAATATATAATCGATCACGACGTTTCGATCGCAACAAGAACAACAAGCGATCGTCCTCAAGTGAAAGAGAGAAACATGCCTCTGTGACGAGGCATTACATAGAGGGAGGAGGGGCGCAAAGGGGCGAGAGGGTGGGGATAAAATTCAAAGAGGGCTTGGGTGAAAGAGAAAAGAAATGTTACAAGGAAGCTTAGATATCAAACTTCACAAAATGCAGAAATGTAATACAACTCAGAGTCGGCTAGCACAACAGTTAACACTTCACCTGGTTGATCAACGTCCTTCCAAAGATTGCTCAATTTTGCATCCATCTCCTCAGTTGAAATTATGTCTGAGTTGTGTGGAAAACCTCTCTCATAAGCTTGTTGTTGCGATCTAAACGTCGTGATCAGTTATTTCTTTATTTCCATATCTACGTTACTTTACCGAAATAACCTAAGAGTACAGAATCATTATGTATCCTGGAGAAATCCGATGAGCTATGAAGCTCTTTTCACAGATATTCAGGAGAGATTTCACAGACGTCCAAAGGCACGTACCCACACCATTCCCAATGGAACATGAAGGAAAGCACTGACATCATCGAGCAAGGGTCTTTGTCTAAACACATCTGGCAGTTCACCAGCCGTGGCTCTGCTGATGAGACAATGAATCTCAAACCCCGTTCAGAGTTTGCTTTTCGTTTAACCAAATGCTGCTGAAGTTACGCACTCCCAATAGTCCAGGGATCGGCTTCCTGCGGCTCTGGAGACGTGTGCGGTGGCTCTTTGGCTGCCCCCTTGGGGCTCTTTGGCTGCCCCCTTGCGGGCATCCGTTTAAAAAAAACTATAAATATTAGACCTCATACTGGTAGGAACCTCCTGGTTACACCAGCCCACAGGGGATTATTGTGTCCGTCCGTCGTGCAGGGAGGAGCTGGGTGGGGAGGGTGAGGCTGGGTGGGGAGGGTGGGGAGGGTGGGGCTGGGTGGGGAGGGTGGGGCTGGGTGGGGGGTGGGAGGGTGGGGCTGGGTAGGGAGGGGCTGGTCACCCCGTGGTACCTTATAAAATTCAACGTTTAACCTACTCACGCCGGCCTGTGCCCGCCCTCGGGCATATTTGCGGAATACACCACGCCGCCGTTGACCCTGGCCATTGACCGAGCAACCCAACGTTCCTACCAGCTCCCTCCGCAGGAATGTGTTTTAACAGAAAAAATAATTGATTCAATATGGTAAGGAATGGGTGACGATGGAATGTCTTGGTGACAACAAAATGTAGTCAAACTGGTATTATTAAATAATAACTAGGGGGGGGGGGGGCTAAATAGACGCAGTTTATTCCATCACCGACTTTGTTTCAGAATGTTTGTCATGTTGGTCAAAGACAAAAATCGCTCTCTTCGTTTTCTTTTAAATGTTGTCGACCCCTGTAATAGTAGTCCGTGTTGTGGCTGGTGGGATGTGAAAACAAAACCCCGTTATGTTTTTTAAAGGGACAGATATGGGAAGGAGGCGTTAGTGGGAGTGTCTTGATAATTGACTCTTACTCGCAACGCTCCACACTGGCACCAATGATTTGCGTGGCGTCTTCACGTGACCCCGGCTCCACCGAGTCACAGCTGCGCCTACAAAGGGGTCATGAGCGCCTCAAACCGGCGGGTGGCGGCGTGGCCGAGTGGTTACTTCTCAAGAATTATGGAACTTTTTCAGACGCGGGTTCGCGCCCGTGTCGTTACCACTAGCGATATCCGCTACCTTTTTCTTACTTCAGCTTGAGACGGCGGCGTGAGACGGCGGCGTGAGACTTCCCCCTCCCTCCCGAGAGGAGCTGCAGGGAATCCCGCAGGAGCTCGGGACACACCGCGGATTGTTGGAGTCTCAATGCGGACACTCGCCATGCCACGCTCCGCGCGGCGTGTCGCGAGCCCCCGTGGCCACGAGAGGGCGCGAGAGAGACGGCAACTCTCGCCCCGTGGATTCTGAAACGTAACTAAAACGTGTTTTGATTTCACCAGCAAAGGCCCACTGAGCTATATTTTGAGCTCTTTTTTTCAGAAGCCACCTGGCCATCACGAATGATTTCTCAATGAAGTGGCTTATCACGCGGAAATTATTTTTAGCAGCCAAATACTCTAACCGCGTGTTGATTCTGAACGTGGAGGGGAGATTCCGAAGGGACCCAGAGGCATACAAACTCCAAATATACAGCAGGCGTCAGGGTCAGGATTGAACCCACGACCTCCTGCCAGGCGAGGTAGTTCACATCTCGCCACCGCGCTGCCCCTACGCCGGCCCTTAGGCCCAGCCTGATTGAGATATTTAATTCCTGCCAGTCCACATGCCAGCTCCCTCGTGTCAACTATGATGTGTTAAGTCAGTTAATGGAGTTGAAGGGCAGTTTAAAAAGGGGTGGAAGGGCAGTCAAGAGGCAGTTAAGCCTGGAGAAAAGGAGAAAGTTGCTAGGTTGTGAGAGCTCTACATCAAGTTGTACAACAATAATAAAAAGTTAATAACAGGTTATTTCGGTAAAGTGACGTAGATAGGGAAATGAATATATAATAGATCACGACGTTTCGATCGCAACAACAACAAGCGATCGTCCTCAGGTGGAAGAGAGAAACATGCCTCTGTGACGAGGCATTACATAGAGGGGGGCGAGAGGGTGGGGATACAATTCAAAGAGGGCTTGGGTGAAAGAGAGAGAAGAAATGTGACAAGGAAGCTTAGATATCAAACTTTACAAAATGTAGAAATGTGATACAACTCAGAGTCGGCTAGCACAACAGTTAACACTTCACCTGGTTGATCAACGTCCTTCCAAAGATTGCTAAACTTTGCATCCATCTACTCGGTTGAAATTATGTCTGAGTTATGTGGAAAACCTCCCCCGTAAGCTTGTTGTTGCGATCGAAATGTCGTGATCTTTTATTTATTTATTTTCATATCTACGTTACTTTACCGAAATATCCTAAGAGTACAGAATCATTATGTATCCTGAAGAAATCTGATGAGCTATGAAGCTCTTTTCACAGATATCCAGGAGAGATTTCACAGATGTCCAAAGGCACGTACCCACACCATTCCCAATGGAACATGAGGGAAAGCACTGACATCACCGAGCAAGGGTCTTTGTCTAAACACATCTGGCAGTTTACCACCCTTGGCTCTGCTGATGACACACTGAATGTCAAACCCCGTTCAGAGTTTGCTTTTCGTTGAACCAAATGCTGCTGAAGTTACGCACTCCCAATAGTCCACGGATCGGCTACCTGCGGCTCTGGAGACGCGTGCGGTGGCTCTTTGGCTGCCCCCTTGGGGCTCTTTGGCTGCCCCCTTGCGGGCATCCGTTTAAAAAAACTATAAATTTTAGACCTAATACTGGTAGGAACCTCCTGGTTACACCAGCCCAAAGGGGATTATTGTGTCCGTCCGTCCGTCGTGCAGGGAGGGGCTGGGTTTGGGAGGGTGGGGCTGGGTGGGGAGAGGCTAGGTGGGGAGGGTGGGGCTGGGTTGGGAGGGTGGGTCTGGGTGGGGCTGGGTGGGGTGGGAGGAGTGGGGCTGGGTGGGGAGGGGCTGGTCACCCCGTGGTGCCCTTATAAAACGCAACGTTTAACCTACTCACGCCAGCTTGTGCCCGCCCTCACAGTCAGGCATATTTGCAGAATACACCACGCCGCCATTGACCCTGGCCATTGACCGAGCAACCCAACGTTCCTACCATCTCCCTCCGCAGGAATGTGTTTCAACATAAAAAATAATTGATTCAATATGGTAAGGAATGGGTGACGATGGAATGTCTTGGTGACAACAAAATGTCGTCAAACTGGTATTATTAAATAATAACTCGGGGGGGGGACTAAATAGACGTAGTTTATTCCATCACCGACTTTGTTTCAGAATGTTTGTCATGTTGGTCAAAGACAAAAATCGCTCTCTTCGTTTTCTTTTAAATGTTGTCGACCCCTGTAATAGTAGTCCGTGTTGTGGCTGGTGGGATGTGAAAACAAAACCCCGTTGTGTTTTTTTTAAAGGTACAGATATGGGAAGGAGGCGTTAGTGGGAGTGTCTTGATAATTGACTCTTACTCGCAACGCTCCACACTGGCACCAATGATTTGCGTGGCGTCTTCACGTGACCCCGGCTCCACCGAGTCACAGCTGCGCCTACAAAGGGGTCATGAGCGCCTCAAACCGGCGGGTGGCGGCGTGGCCGAGTGGTTACTTCTCAAGAATTATGGAACTTTTTCAGACGCGGGTTCGCGCCCGTGTCGTTACCACTAGCGATATCCGCTACCTTTTTCTTACTTCAGCTTGAGACGGCGGCGTGAGACGGCGGCGTGAGACTTCCCCCTCCCTCCCGAGAGGAGCTGCAGGGAATCCCGCAGGAGCTCGGGACACACCGCGGATTGTTGGAGTCTCAATGCGGACACTCGCCATGCCACGCTCCGCGCGGCGTGTCGCGAGCCCCCGTGGCCACGAGAGGGCGCGAGAGAGACGGCAACTCTCGCCCCGTGGATTCTGAAACGTAACTAAAACGTGTTTTGATTTCACCAGCAAAGGCCCACTGAGCTATATTTTGAGCTCTTTTTTTCAGAAGCCACCTGGCCATCACGAATGATTTCTCAATGAAGTGGCTTATCACGCGGAAATTATTTTTAGCAGCCAAATAC